TCTAAACGCCTCATGGAGGTATTATTTTTTAAAACTATAGTTTTTTTAAATGTTACATATTCCACCTTTAATGGCTGTCCTCTGAGACTAAACTATGAGCTTCACGTTGGGCATGACACAAGACTCCCTGCATGATCTTTCCTCCAAATGCTTCAAACAATCCAAAAGGTTATTCATGAGACAAAATGACTCACCCTCACAGTCCTCAACAGTCTAAACCCTGGATCTTTAACAGAATATTCATCTGACAATATTGTTTTTTATGGCAATAAATATCATCTTACTGAGTTTTTGCCCCTGTGTGACAGAGACCTCCCGGGCCGCAGATAAAGAAAAACAGTCATGGTTTATTTAAATCTCTCCAGATGTGTCAAATTGTTAAAGCCAAGACTTTTGTAACACACATTTAATAATGCACACCCCATGAATGGTTTTGCTATGTTAAATCTAGACTTGGCTAACTAAAAATAGACTTTTTCTAAAATGTGATGGAAGATGTAATGGCTTGTAGGTTGTAGTGAGGAATGTAATCACGTGCTCAAGATTGAACCCCCAACGATGGAAGTAACGAATGAACAGTTAAGCGTTAGCATTCTTTCTTGTTAAGATACACAGAAACATGATACAAGAAATACAATATTACTGCTGGAGCTTGTATTTTTGTGCAAAGGTACCCAACATACACTATAAAAAGTTGGTGGTTGAAACAAATTTTGAAAACCAACCCTAACACATGACTCTAATAGCGAGCACGGCTTTATGACAACAGTCTCTTGAGAAAAACTTCTGAGCCACCATGGATTTATTTTGCGAGCATCTCTTTATCTGTAAGATAAAGTGAGTTCAGCAGGCACAGACAAGTTAATGACGGACAATGCTTTCTGCGCTCCTTGTGACTCGAAAGACAAGAGTGTTGAAAGAGCCTGATTTGTGTTTTCAAGGCTCATTGTTCACAGAGGAAACTCACAATTGATGTTTTTTTTTCTCAGATAAAAAGAACATTTTAACAAAAACTAATGCTAGTTATCCAGGAGGCTTATACTATGACAATTGTACTATGTTATTTTGCTAGAAAAGAGCAGCTGTGTGTGGCCTAGTGGTAGAGTGTCCGCCCTGAGACTGGGAGATTAGGGGTTCGACTCCTGGTCGGGTCATACCAAAGACTTTGAAAAAATGGGACCCAATGCCTCCCTGCTTGACACTCAGCATTAAGGGGTTGGATCGGGGGGTTAAACCACCAAATGGTTCCCGAGCGCGGCTGTGTCTACAGCTCACCGCTCCCCCAGGGGATGGGTCAAATGCGGAGAATAAATTTCGCACACACACCCGGTGCGTTCCCTTAGGTCAGCTGACCAGAGATTACTAACTGTGCCTAGGTACAGCCTGAAGTCTCGTGGTAGTCGAGCTTTTTCAGTACTTGGACCAAGTCTCTGGAATGAGCTGCCAGCTAATGTAAAACAGGCCACGTCATTAGAAACTTTTAAAGGAAGACTGAAAACACATCTGTTCTCGCTGGCTTTTGGATGTTGAAGTTGGGGGAAGTAGGCCGGATATGGACTGTGAACTGGCACTCAGGTTTTTGTACTGCATTTTAAAATGGATTTCTTATTGTATTTTTATAGGATTTATTACGGTATTTTACAGGGAATTCTTAGTGTATTTTAATGGATTTATTCATGTATTTTAATGGTCATATCTCTGTCCTGTTGTGTTGCATTTTATTGATGTACAGCGCTTTGTTTGTCCATTCTGGCCATGTGAAAGCGCTCTATAAATAAAGTTGATTTGATATGATTTGATTTGACCTGTGTGTGTGACAACTAATGGGACTTTAACTTTTAACTTAACTTTGTTGGTCTCTACCTCTAAAAACACTCCAGACATGATAAAAACCTGTCCATCCATTTTCTCATTGTTTGGTATCAGGAATGTTATGCTTTAAACAAGCCGTTTCAACAAGTCCCTGATTGTGATGTCACAAATGGGGAAATTAGAACAGAGCCATTACTCACCTGCTGGAAAGAGCTGCTACTGAAGGAGCGGTAGCTCTACTCAGAGCCCGTTCCAGATATCAGAGTGCTTCAACCACAAGGCGGTTCTTAGGACGGGGCCACATGGTCATGGCCCCAGTTGAAATATGATTGGCTCTCTAAAGTACCTCTTTCCTGTCACTCATCTGTCCTTGTGATGATCAGATAGGTGGATGCAATTCCAAATCTAAACACTGTTGTTACTAATGAGTCAAACAGGAATTTACAGCATAAAATCTTGTGTGAAGATGCTGAACTAATACTTGGCCCTTCTATAACTATATATATATATATTCTTATGTCTGCCACTAATCTCAGCCTTTTGACCCTTTGCACCTAGGTACCTGATCTCTTGATTTTCCACGTTTGAGATCGGATCGATCATTTTAGAAGGGAGTAAAGACTTTATATTTGCTCTTATCCTGACCCCATTCATATTGATGTAACATCATTTTCCCATGACACCATTTATATTCATTATATACTATTGAATGACAATGAAAGCATTACTATTAAATACGTTTTAGTAATTTATTTATTAACACATAAAAGGTGACAAGCTTCAGGAGAGATTTTGTCAATAAAGCTTTTTCATTCATCTCATTTTGCCTGCATCCATTTGGTTTCTGTATAAAATGCAACAATTTTTTAGCCTGGCAAGCCAGACTAAATAAATGTATTATTTAGTCTGGCCATGCTCCATTGACGGCTCTCGGTTGTGGGGCGGGTTCTACCGTTGTCTTTCAAATGATCTCCACATTCCACTGGAAAATGAATGTGACATACTCTTGTTTCACTCTGTTGCATCATCCCACCCACCAGGCATATAGAGTGCCCTGATTGGCCCACAAAGCGGATAAAGCTCTGTGATTTGTTCACTAAGCAGATAGAGCACTATGACTGGCCCACCATTATGGACCAATCACAGCTCTTTTTGTGTTTGAAACCCCTCTAGAGAGCTGTGATTGGCTAGCCAGAGTCCTGGTAGGAGCTGCTGAGGTTCCAATGGAGCATGCCTAGACCAAACTTTGCAAATCAAGAATTTGGTCTAGTTCACTAGGCTAACAATTTTTAGTTTTGGGATAATTTAATCAATAACACACATGTTCTCTGAAGGCTTGCTGGCAAATTCCTTTCAGAAATAAATGGTAATGGTCTGTATTTGAAATAGAGCCTTCTAGATTCCTGGAACCCCCCAAGGTGCTTTACAACACAATCAGTCATTCACCCATTCACACACAAATTCACACCCTGGTGGTGATGAGCAACACTGTAGCTACAGCTGCCCTGGGACCGGGACACACGGACAGAGGCGAGGCTGCCGTACACAGGTGTCACTGAGCCCTAAATAATTTTTTGGGGGGGACAAGGGGGACATGTCCTCCCCACTTTTTCCAAAGTCAAGTTTTGACCCCTGCACTTTTTACCATCCAAAAACAATATTACGCTATGTTAAATTGACACTGGTGGAGCTCTAGGACCAAGTGGAAAACAAGCGTTTGTGTTGAAGCCAGTTTCCCATTAGAGCATACTGTAAAGATACATCCCCCGCGTCCCCCCCACTTCTAAAGTGAAAATTACGTCCTTGCCTCCGAGCACCACCTGCAGGCAAGGTGGGTTAAGTGTCTTTCCCAAGGACACAACGACAAACTGAGCGGGGCTCGAACCTGGAACATTCCGATTTCAGACCGAGCACTTAACCCCTGTGCCACCGTCGCCCCAAACTCATCAATTTACTACCACAACATTCAACCACCCACTTCTAAATGTTTCCACTCAACTCATTGTTCTATTGAAGAATCAAAAGGCCTGTGAGAAAATATGTGCATCGCTGTGAACGAACCCATCACAATTACTCCTGATTTAGAAATGGGTTTGAATATCATAAACCATGCTGAAAATATTCGCATCTTACCTCATCCAAACAATCAGGATAAGAATTTGCAGCAGGAGGAAGAAAATCGACTCTGATTTGAATGAACTCTGCTCTAAATTCAGTTGGCGGTTGTTTCATGTTCATGTGTGTTGGAAACTTTGCCAAGTTCCTCTTGATTCCTAGAAACACAAAAGTCCAGAGAGATTATAAAACAAACTCGGGATCAGATTGCTACGGGATGCTGCGACCAGAGGAGTACGTGTGAAATTCAAGCTGAAATTTCTCACAGCATCCATGGGTTCCCTGTGTCGCCATTCATTCACTTCAGTCTCATCCACAAACGTTCCCTGTAAATGTCATCATCCGGGCCAAACCGCGAATCGCTGAATTTTGCTGCAGAACACAAATTTCCTGCTCACTTTACTCTAACAGCTGTGGCTCTCAGCCGTCATTATCCTTGTGCAGCACGCTGTGTGGCCACATCTGCCATAGCACCACAGCTGTCAGCATCTCAAAATTGTATATGGTGAATGTTGCTTTCAGCCCAGAACCAGTTGCAACACTCACGCTTGACAAACGTTTACATTCTCAGTCTGGTTTAACAAATTCTCCACAATTTTTTGAGTGTTAAAGACAACCAAGTGGCCTCCGCAGGGTACGAAGGTAATAAAATACAGCCGAGGAACAATGCTGGCCCCGTTTTTATGTATTGGTTGGATGTGTTCCAGCATCAAATGTATGAATATTATTTCATATTTTAAACAGACAAGACTTGTTTTCTGTTTTTCTACAAGATCTTCCGGTCAGATAAAACTTATGAAGCCTGAAAAACGGTTTCAAAAGACGGGTGAGAGCGGCGGAAGAAAACAACAACGTCCTTTTTCTTTTCGCTGTTTGAAAAGCTTATTATTCCCCAAGTCCCCCTCGGTCTGAAGAGCGCCCCCTCCTCTACCTTATTTCAGGTTTTTTTTTTCAAGCCCCCGTTTCAGTTTGAGCCCACACTGTGCAACCCAGTGTCTGCCGCTCCACTAGCGCCGCCTCTAGCCTCTCACTGGCTCTTTGGCTCCCCTCCTTTCTTTTCCCTCCCCTCCCCTCTTTCTCTGCCGTTTCTCCTCATTGCTGGCTGATCACAGCAGCCAGCTCAGAGCCAAAGAGCCCCTCTTTCCCCTGTCACACCGATCCAGCTTTAAGCCTGAACTTTCCCCTCGAAATACTGAGACATCACTCCAAAGGACGTAATTACCCAAGTCTAAAGGTACAGAAACAACTTTCATCTCAATATTTCCTGTTTGATGCGTTTTTCAAATGCAGTGAAACACTTGATCAGAAGCAGAGCTTGTGTGTGAGACCTGCTCCGCCCGCCAGACGGAGCGTGAACTCAAACTGTACACGTGTAGTTCAGTGTACACAAGCGGAAGTTTCCTACGCTTCTGCGACAGAAACATGCGTGATCTTCACTTTGATTGCTGCTTTCTTTAAAGCATCTTTGATGTACCAGTGCTTTTTTTTGTATTATTTGGGGCAATACTTTAAAAAAAAAAAAGATGCAAACCAGTATTAAAAAAAAGTTCCAACTCAAGTTTTACCACTTAACATGACAGGGTCTCTTGTTTTTCCGAATTGATGTTTTCTCTTGCATGTAATGATCAGTCTTGCATCGTGTTGCTCTCCCATGCAGGCGGCTTGTGATCCTTTAACCAACCTGAGAAGGTTTAGTCACGGAGGTCCAACAGGATACAGGACCTTCAAAGTTCCATCATTACAAGCGAGTGGAGCTCCGCTTTCCTCACGGCAGAGCCTTAAAGAGACGCTATGACCCAAAGCAACGGGGAAAACGCTCAGAGGACCCGGGGTGGTCTGCATCAGATCCGAGCTGGCATCCAGTCCCGGTCCCTGCAGGCCAAAAAGACGGTGGAGAACATCAAGCAGGATGACGTGAAGAGCTTCTGCGTTAAAAACGCTTTTGTCATTCTAACGGTTACAGCTGTCATTACAGGTAAGACTCCCTTCCTGATGGATCTGCTTTGCCTGTCATTGGTTAACCCTCTGGAGGCAGGCGTTGCAGATTTGCAACGTTAAAACCTACCTACCCGGTTACTCCACATACGTATTTCATGAGCATTTTTTAACTCAGAAGTACCCCTGAAGGACTTAGTTGTTCGTCCTTTCATCAAAACTTATTTTGAGCCTGAGAGGGTTAAGACAAACCAGAGAGCGCCATCACTTTACCCCAACGATCCGCTAACTTGATGTGAGCGACGGAAGCAAAAGACACAGAAAGCACAAACAGCTCTGAAGGACTTATCAGGCTTGACTTGTCTGACCTTTGACCTGCCTTTTTTAACCCCCTGAATTCTGCCCTCAGGAAGCAAACCAAGCCCACTCAAAGCATGCACATGTGCCACTCTGCTAAAATTAAATGGCGTTGTGACAGATTTAGTCGACAGATGAATTTGAGATATTTTTCCGGTCAGGCTGCAGGGTCTGCCACCTGAGCTTGTCTGTAACCAAAAGCTTGGCGAGAAAAGAATTCAAGGACACAAAAGAACAAAAAAGTTCAGATGCTTTTATTTTCTACGCCGTGTTGTTTTATTTTTCAGGAGCATTTCTAAACCTGCTCCTGAACCTACTACGTTTGATCCGACTGCAGGTATAATTTTGGGGTTTGCCCTGCGGCCGTATAAAATGTCTTACCGCGAGGTGAAGTACTTCTCGTTCCCTGGAGAGCTGCTGATGAGAATGCTCCAGATGCTGGTGCTGCCGCTGCTGGTTTCCAGTCTTATCACAGGTATGAACATCTCAACACGCTGCATGCAAACTGAACAAATCAACCAAAAATGTATATTTAGCACATATTTAGCAGTCATTTTCCTCAACACTTTATCTTTTTCATGAGATCTCTAAAGTGCACATCTTGTGTGACCTTGCTTTGCATCATGCAGCACAAAGAAAAACCCTTCACCTAGTATTACTGGCATCTCTCTTCCTCACACTGCCGCCTGTGGGTCTGCTCGGCATGGCTCCATAGCTATCTTCACATATTTCTTACAAAAATCCTTGCAAAGTCCACGGCCTTCTATCCATGATTCCTGCTACGTTTGGTTTTGGATCAATAATGGGTGTGCAGCCTGCGTTTTCTTTGTACAAACAAGAGTGACTAAGTTGTTTGGTGTGTCGAGGCTCTTCTGACCAACTCGGCTGTTTGCTCAGCCGAAGCTGTTTGTTGTTTTCAGGCCCAGCAGTGGACGGGTTTAGGATGATCTCACAGGCAGGAGGTGCTCAACCTCTGTAATGACAGTCCCTACGTGACAACACGGCTCTATCAAAGCAACATGTTTGACTTCGTTTTAAAATCGTACCCATAACAAAGTCAATGTAGACAAGTATTAAAAGAACATGTGAAATGCTCAAGACGACCAAGGCATTTTCATGTTTACCGTACTTACAGGAACACTGCTAAGTTGTGAGCAGACAGCTTGTTTTTGCGTAACCCTGGCTGATAAATGTAGTACAGGAAGATCAAATGTCCACCGTCTGCAGTGACTGACAGGAAAACAGGCCAGTCTCCTAAAGGGACGAAGGAGGCGCGTTGTTTGACAATGGTCTGCTTTGTGGTGAAGCCGGGAATAACACCAGCATCCTCTGACATCGTGTCACATGAAAACAGCTTCAGCATGTGCAGAAATGCAAAACAGAGTTGTAAAGATATCCATTGGTGCGCCTGCAAAATAATTTCTATAAATCATGAATACTACGCAGCTTTGCTTTGAAAAGACCTTTTAAAAGCAATTAGTTGTAATTACAACAGCTGTAAATAGCAACAAATGAGCTTTTCAGAAGCACACAAACACATGTTTCAATCAATAAATTTACCTAAAGCCTTTCGACTCATAACTGCAAATAAAAGTAGATGTCTCAAAGTGACACTCCTGTGTAGCATAATAAAAAAACACCATCACCTCATCTGTAAGAACGTTATCTAGAGGCCTGGTTGGGAAAGTGCGAGTTGCTTGTTTGTCTCTTCTGGGATCAATACATTCCACGCTACGTTGAGCAACTTGATGTTTAAGTTTATTTGTCGAGTTAATCAATGTGAAAATGTTATTATTAAGTGCTTGGTTAATGTTGACTGTAGTACCACACGCTATCAGTCTGAATTAAGGCATTATTGGTGTAGGTGTTTATATTGACTTCCTTGTATCTTTGTCTCTTCTTGTGTAGATTTTTTTTATCTTATGTTTGTTTTTATTGTCTCTGGACCTTGAGTCTGTTAATAAAGTTGATTGATTGATTGATTGATTGATTGATTGATTGATTGATTGATTGTCAAGTCTCAACCCTGAAACCTGATGTGAAAATATTAACTGTGCTTTGATTTCTAGCATTTTGCCTCTTGAATGAGTGAAAACAATCAGACTTTCTCTATTATAAAATTTCCAAGGACAAAACATTCCAAAAACCTTCTTGAACAACTCAAGTTTTTCTGTCGAAGAGCATTTTTCCAAACCTAAAGCTTCTTGACTGAGATCATTTTGATCTCATTGAAAAAAAAAGATGTTTAGGATTCTGAAAATCATTTGTCCTACAGAATCTAAGCTTTACAGTTTCTGCGTATACATGTGGCAAAATCCAGTTGTCCCATCTGAAAAGGAGTTTCCTCTGAGCTGGTCCAGTCTGAAAGGGAGCTGAGAATCAGAAACCTTGAGCAGACCCCAGAGGGCCCCTGAGAGGTCTGAGCTGAATTCATGGAGGCCCCAGAAGGGAGAACACAAAAAGAGGTAGACTTCAGGACGAACAGGATAGAAACACAAATGTAAAGACTCATAAAACAGATTTTATGTTTTACTGATTAAATGATGTATGTCTACAGTTTCAAAGTCCTTTTAAATTATCACTGGAGGACAGTAAGAAACATCGAGACATTTGAGGAGAAAATGAGCTTCTTAGCTTTTTTTGCACATCCCAACTTACATTTTCTCCTTACCCCCGTTGATGTTAAACTCTTTCTAGCAAAACCTCTCTCACCGTGTCCTCTGTTTCACCCCAGCTCCCCAAAGTCAGACGACTCTTGTTTTTGATGAACATCCCCCTAAATTACAAAGAAAGTCATTCCACTCGCGCTCCTTCAATCTTGCTTCTTTCAATCCTTTGAGAAGATTGAATTGGTGAGGCTGCGTCTGTTGTTGCCTGGGCAACAGGCCGGGGATCATTGTGTGTACATGTGGGGCTGACCGAGTCAACAGGTTTTCCCAGGACTGTCACAGGATGAGGAGGAAGAAAGCCAGGGTTGGGGGGGGGTTAATTAAGGAGAACCAGGAGAACTGATGGAGACGGGGAGGAGGGAGGAAGGGTCTAGAAATGGGGGATCAGATGTACAAGAGTAGATGGTGATGGAGAAAAGAAAAGGTGATGAATTTTTGGGAGGAGATGAGAGAAAAGCTGAGATGCAGGTGAACAAAAAGCCTCCTGAGCGTGTTCAGATAAGACGAGCTGAGAGGAGGTGCCCCTCAAAGCAGCCTGGAGCAGTTAACCTCAACGGGCGGCTCACGGGCCCACCAGACTTTTCCACCCGGCCCCCCAACTCTTTGGGCCCCACTGTCCCTCAATTGGGGGACTTTGAAGTTTAGCAGCAAAATTTATTTAGTAAGTATATAAGTAAGTTAAGGTTAATTTTATTTATATTGCACTTATCACAATCAAGAAGTGCTCCACATGATCAAAATAACATCAAACAAAGTCATAAAATTATGATGCTCTTAAAACAGAAATAGATTAACATCAGAAAAAATAAAGTCATAAAATTATACAATTTCATAAACAGATCATCTGTTAAATTAAAAGATTTAGGTGAAAGCAGCTTTAAATAAACGGGTCTTTAGCTGTTTTTTAAAAGCGTCCAGGCTGTCAATACTACGTAAGGATAAAGGAAGATCATTCCAACGTCGGGCTGCAACAGTCTGGAAGGAGCGATCACCTCGACTTTTGTATCTGGTCTTTGGAACTTCTAGAAGGTTCTGGCGGGTGAACCTGAGGGCTCGGTTTGGAGCATAAGGCTTTAACAGTTCAGTAATATAGGGAGGAGCTTGACCACGTAGAGCATTGAAAGTTATAATCATGATTCTAAAATGAACTCTAAAATTAACGGGTAACCAGTGCAGAGACATCAGAATAGGAGTGATGTGTGCTCTTCTGTTTGCTCCAGTTAGGAGCCTCGCTGCAGCGTTCTGGACTAACTGAAGGCGGTCAAGGGCTTTTTTGTTAAAACATGTGAAAAGTGTGTTACAGTAAGCTACACGGGTGGAAATAAATGTATGGATAACCATTTCAAGTTCATGTTTTGACACCAACCTTCGCAGTTTGGAGATGTTTCTTAAATGATAAAAACAGTTTCGAAACAACGTTTCTGAGTGGCCTTCAAGAGACAATGATTGGCCAAAAACACCCAAATTCCTTAAGTTCGTCTGGACGGCAGAAGATAAATGATCAAGTTTTAGCCTAATCAGAGGAACCATTTTCCCCTATATTTCCAATGCAATTTCCCAGATTTCAATAATTGTTTACGTTCTCCGAACTAAACTAAAACTGCAATCAAAACTGTTTAAACTGAAAATGAAGCCATTTTAAATATTATTTCGTTAAGATACAATAATACTTTAACTTTTCTTTAGAAGAGCACCTGGTCTTCACGGAGTGTGCTGGAAAAAAAACTCTGGCCCTTGACAAATTTAGTTTAGGATCCCTGCTTGAGAGCAAGAGTGTCCAAGGTAAGGGCTAAAAACCAGTTACAAGTTCTCACCGGCCAAGATAAAGTGTGTTTTTTTAATTTTAAAAATGCAAAAATAATTCTCTAATGATTTCTTACATTGGTACAGCTCAAAAAAATCTAAAGTAGACATATTAGTAAAGCTCTGAACAGAAAATATTAAAATATGTTGATTTATATCCACAGCTTGCTGAACAGACAAAATCCCATCAGTTTAGAAATGCTATTGGGGACCGCACAAAATCAGTTCAAGGGCAACAACGGCCGCTGGGCCACACTTTAGACATGCCTGCTCTAAAGCATGGAAGTATTTCTCACATATATAAAGTTCTGCATGTGAAAGGAACGTATAAATCTATCCAGGACAAAAACCTGCCAGTATCCAATAAAGATAAAAGTCTAAATAAGACCAGACAATGAATAATAAATCATTGAAACCTTTAAAGCAGCATTTCTGTCTCTGACTATAAGTTTCTTCATCATTTCTAACCTCTTGTGTCTATAGAATGGGTTTAAAACTGCATAAACAATCATTTATTTATCATTTTATTAGGTTCTGGGTGTTTTGCTGTAAGTGTTGTTTTTCCACCAGGAAAAGGTCACAGTCAGATTGTGTTTCGTGCCGCTCTTTGTTGTCACAGTTAGAGGCTCAGATAATCCAGATGGGTGTACTCCTCCTATAAATGCGGCACCTTTTTTCCGACCACACAAAGAGGCTTGAAATTATTGACACATCAGTGCAGCTTTGAATGCTGTGGGACAGAATAACTTAATATAAAAGGGATAGTTTCCCTTGTGTACTGAAAGGATGAACATCCTTTTTGAAGTGCTTTATATTATAGAAGCATTACAGTCTCACCAGAATATACATTTTTGTAAACATTGAATTTATAATATTGAATTTTTATTCTGTGAAATTATGTGTTTGAATTTTTTTTGTACATAAAATACACTGACAAAAAGATTCATTCGTAAAACTGCAGAATTTAAAGAGCAAGTTACCCCCTATCAGAGTCTCACTCCACTCCCATTTCCTGTTTGAAAAATGCAACAAATGCTGTTGCTTGGCAGACCGAGAGAGCAAACACACACACACACACACTGGCTCATAATGGCATTGTGACATCATATGGTACCAGCTGACATCAAAGGGTACCTCTTAGCCAATAGCCATGGCAGATTTAAATTCAAATGCAGTGCAGATTTTTTACCTGAAGAGGGCGCAACACTGACAGTTTTAGGCAGAAATTTTAAATTTGAACTAAAATGCACTAAGGAGCCAAATTATTGACTACATGTGTCTACAGCCCTATTAGACACTCGTTTATATAGTTTGTCAGCAAAAACAAAAGCAACTTTGGGGGTGACTTGCTCTTTAAGCTGCAAAATTCCACATCAGAAATTCAACAGCAAAAATTCAACAGCAAATGAGGTGCCCTCCTGGTATAAACCAGAAATCATTTAAAAGTTTATGAATATCCCATGGTATTTTCATTTCAGGTATTGCTGCTTTGGACAGCCGTGCCTCTGGTAAAATGGGGATGAGGGCAGTGATCTACTACACCACAACAACTGTCATCGCTGTGTTCATCGGTATTGTCATGGTGCTCATTATTCACCCTGGAAAAGGATCAAAGGATGAGTTCACCAAGCAGCAGCAGATAGAGCAGGTCAGCCCTGCTGATGCCTTCCTGGATCTTATCAGGTACACATTAGCAAACCATGAACAAGTGTCTAAAAGCCACACAAGCATGCTCACAGATGATCATGATGTATGAAAACAACACCGCAGTTTCCATCCTTTTCAAGCTTAACGGACCTTTTTTATTGTGTTTTTTTTTTTCAGAAACATGTTTCCTCCAAATCTTGTGGAAGCTTGCACCAAACAGGTATCGTTCTGCACTCGCATAGCTTGATGGTCTCACAAAATGTATCACCATCTAAAAATGATTTCAACAAATTTCAATCAATGATTTCAAGTATAAAAAGTCTAATTTTTAGACCTTTTATCTTAAGTTTAGTCTAAAAAGAAAATAAAATTAATCTAATGTTAGATTTATTTGCTAATTCTAATGTTTCTATAAGCAACTTTGCTTACCCCACTGCCGGATTTTTTTTAACTCGAAATTTGCTTAAAATATTTTTAATGCCTCTTGGCAATCTAATATAGTACAGCTATAAATAATTTGTAGAGGTAAAAAACAAAAATTAATAAAGTGGTTCTCTTGCATTTGTCTAAAATCCTCTGCCAATAACACGTTTCGGACCAAAAGCAACCATTGGACCATCCGGTTGTTAGTCTCGACAAATCGCCACACTTCCCTGGGTCCTTCATTCATTATGCACTCACATACTTAGCGACAGAACACCACTGGTGTGAAAGGTTCTCCGCTCAATGATATCAGAGAAGGAGAAGGAGTCCCAAAAAGAAAAACACCAGTTGAAATCACGGACAACAAAAGACGTTTGGACATAGAAAATGGCGATGGGTGTATAGCACTATCTTGTTTCATAAGGCATTGCAGGTTTCCGGTTCCAGAAGAAGCGTCTCGGGGAAGGTGCCTGAAGGGAGGGGGGAGTCTTCCACGACCGTGTTTGCATTTAAAACCTAGCTTGTTTGTAGATTCATTATAACAGCTTTAAGATTTTTTACTTTTTTAGAAATCAGGTTTTTTCAGTGTTGTAATGGAATGCTGTTTGCTTTTTCTCCAAAAATGTAGAAATTCAAAGAGCTTTTCTTGTATTTTAGCAAATATAATAACATAAAAAATAAATCAAAAATGAGTTTGGAAACATCACAACATTTTTTGTTGGTGCCAGACATTTTTTCCCCCCACTTTTGAGGCTCCTATCCGTGTGCCACTTTCAATTCCACATTCCAGCAAATCCAGTTCTCTGGTGGGACTGTACACACATGAGCACCAGATTGTTTTACAGCAAAAAAGAAGCATAAACAGACAATTTTTTAACGATTTAGTTGAATTTTCAACATTTTAAAACAAAAACTTTATTTTCCATTTCCTTTACCTGAAATGTACTTATTTAAAAAAAAAAAACAGGAAATGATCAAAATAATTCCTTAAATCAACACTTTGGTGAAAATTAATGGAATAGGGTTCATGGCCACTAAAGTGTTTTTCTTTCTTTAAATTCCAGTTCAAGACACAGTATGCCAAGAGAGTAATCCATGTGACAGTTACGGTGAATGACACATTGATCATGCAGAATGGTAGCCAGCAACTAGCCCAGGAGGAGATGATCCCAGTGCCGGGATCAGTCAATGGAATCAACGCACTGGGTCTGGTGGTGTTCTCCATCTGCTTCGGCCTGATCATCGGTAACATGAGGGAACAGGGACAACCCTTAAAAGACTTCTTCGACTGCCTCAACGAGGCCATCATGAGGCTGGTGGCCATAATAATGTGGTAAGTTTTAGGAGATGACTCAAAAGACTAATAATTAAAACATCTCAACTACAAAGTTGTGAACGCTGTAAACCTGCAGGTATGCTCCTATCGGTATCTTGTTCCTGATTGCTGGTAAGATTGTGGAAATGGATGACATCACATCTATGGGTGGCCAACTGGGAATGTACACAGTGACGGTCATTTGTGGCCTCCTCATCCACGCCATCGTTGTCCTGCCAACACTCTACTTTGTGATCACCAGAAAGAACCCGTTTGTGTTCATCGGCGGGCTGCTGCAGGCCCTCGTAACTGCTCTTGGAACCTCTTCTAGGTATGTGATTGGACCAAACATTCAAATATCACACAGGCATTTAAGAAAAATCTACATAAAATGTAAAAAAAAGTTTCTTGTCCCACCTGTCCCCTAACAGTTCTGCCACATTGCCCATCACCTTTAAATGTCTGGAGGAAAACAATATGGTGGACAAGCGCGTGACCCGTTTTGTGCTCCCTGTTGGTGCCACCATAAACATGGATGGTACCGCTCTATACGAAGCCCTGGCAGCCATCTTTATTGCCCAGGTCAATGCTTATGACCTTAACTTTGGACAGATTCTCACCATCAGGTAGATCTGTACCCGTAGCTGTAAAATGTCAAACTTTTAAGGCGCTCAGCAGCACACACTTCTTCTTTTTTTCTCAAATGAATGCAGAATTTGATTTATCTTGTCTCATTGTAAAGTTGAATCCACAATGTTCAGAAAGATATTCTTGCTATTTGTCCTCAACCAATCTCAAACAGCTCCAAACCTCAGAACCATATTTTAATCTCTAATGTTCTAGCCACCAGCCTGCTATTACATTCATGATCCTCTGTTATTACAGAGGAAAGGGTCACTGCTGGGGAATTTCTAAGAAATGTTTTTTTGGATAATTGGACTTTTACTTCCTCTCAGTATCACAGCCACAGCAGCCAGTATTGGAGCAGCTGGAATACCTCAGGCTGGTCTGGTTACCATGGTGATTGTGCTAACGTCTGTAGGGCTTCCGACCGATGACATCACACTGATCATTGCCGTTGACTGGTTCCTGTAAGTATCAATTGGTAGCAAGAGAAGTCTTGCAACATTATAGAAGGAATTCTTTAAAGGTTTACTTCACTGGAAGATCTTTTTTTAATTGTTATTTCTGATTATAATCTGTCACTCTTAGATTATCAAGCAGGCTGAACATGAAACTAGTCTCCTACACCTATCTCCTGCATTAGCTTCTGACAGAAAAGAGAGGGTGAAAGGCTCCCCTGGACTGCATGTCGGCAACATCTTCCACAAATTCAATATCCAGTTTCACTGCTTCGCGGATGACACCCAGCTCTTCATTTCCAGTAAACCCAACTCAACTCTCCCGCCATCCTCCCTTACCATCTGCCTCTGAGAAATCAAATCATGGTTCACCTCTAATTTCCTCAAACTCAACGGCAATAAAACTGAACTTCTTCTAGTTGGTACTAAAACTGCCATCTCAAAATCTGACAGCTTTTCCTTAACTATTGACAGCGCCATAGTCTCCCCCTCCCCTCAGGTCAAGAGTCTGGGTGTCATCCTCGACAGCTCACTTTCTTTTCAAGCTTACATTAATAATATAATTCGGTCGGCATACTTCCATCTTCATTCCATGAACCGTCTGCGCCCCTCCCTTATCCCTCACACTGCCGCCATTCTCGTCCACAACCTCGTCACCTCCCGTCTCGACTATTGCAATTCACTTCTTTATGGTCTCCCCAACAAACTCCTTCATAAACTGCAACTGGTCCAGAATTCAGCAGCCTGTATTATCACCAGAACCCCGTCCTTTCACCACATCACCCCGGTTCTCCAACAGCTTCACTGGCTCCCAGTTAAATTCAGGTCAATCTTCAAAATTCTCCTCCACACCTTCAAAGCCGTCCATAACCGCTCTCCTCCATATATCTCAGACCTTATAAGTATTAACACCCCCTCCCGTTCTCTCAGATCTTCTTCTTCCATCCATCCTGCGGTTCCTTCTGTCCGTCTCACTACCATGGGGAGCAGAGCTTTCAGCCGCTCTGCTCCTCGTCTCTGGAACTCACTCCCCCAGACATCAGGAACATCGACAGTTTTACCCTTTTCAAAACCAAACTCAAAACACACATGTTTAAATCTGCCAATGACCTCTGATTTTATTGAACTGTTTCTCTCTTTGTTTTGTTTTTTTCTTCTTTGCATTTTATTGTTGTTTTAATGTATTTTCTGAAGTATTTTCTGTCAAGTGACCTTGGGTGTTCTGAAAGGCGCTTTTAAATAAAATGTATTATTATTAACGTTCATGAAGTCACCCATCTTGACTCACAATGGGGAAGGCTGTTGTTGTTTTAGCTAGTAGAAGTGAACCGTTAGCATTAGCAACTCCACCACACAGCAAAATTGCTTCAGGCTTGTGTTTTTTGTGAAGACAAAACATCAGCATTGCAAAGAAAACACAGTCAGTAGAGTCATGTTTCTGTTATCCAATCAAATGTGAGATGTCCAAAAATCAGGAAATAATCAGGAAATCCTGCTGTCTGAGCACCAATCCCAATACTCGCACTTCCACCCTTGAGCCCATCAACTGCGTGATGCAGTCCAGGGAAGCGAGTCTGTAGGGTGTCCTGATCCTCAAGTGCGGAAGTTGACCACGCCCCTTTAGCACCCATGACTCACATTTTGCCCAAGTCCTCATCAATGCGGACTTGGACGATGGTATTAACCAAAATTCATTGCTGCGTGGGCATTTTGAGAAGAAGGTGGAACAATATCTGAAGTGCATTTTCTGAAAATATGTATTTTCAAAAGAAAGAAATTAATTTTTAGACGAGTAATGATATTTATTGGTGCTCTGAATGTTAATGGGCCCATAAAGGGCTCGACACACGGGAGGCGACATCGCCTCTCCTCCATTCATTTTCAATGAGACATGCGCGACAAAGCGATAATTGCGGGTCTCTCTCCTACTAAGCGAAACGCGAAAAACGTGCGTGTGAAATTTTGCGCTTGTGCACGTGTCGTGCACGGACGACCCAGCGACGTGATCCCAGAAAGTTGAAACATTTTCAACTTTTCATCGCTGTCGCTCGGACGAGGACCAATCAACGGAGGTTTCATTCACTGACCAATGAGTGGACAGGATGCTCCGTACATCTCCGAGCAAACGTGGAGGAGAAGTTGATTATTATTATGTTTTATAGTAAAATCAGAAGTGAGATTTCACATAACTCTAGCAGCGCCTTTTGAAACATCATATCTACCACTTTATTAACTCTGAACCGCTTAAATAACCTTAATTCCCTCCGACCTGACACAGCCAAACAAAACAACGGAAGTTTCAATTTCGCCATGGAACAGAACGCGTAGACGGTTTTGCCGCTGGCTGCTGCCACAGGTCGCCTCCCGTGTGTCGAGCCCATAAGATTTAATGTGAACAGCAATGAATGTAAATTTTGTCAAGAAATTGTTTGTTTGAAAGTTGTTAAAGATTATTTTAAAATTAGCCCAAACAGCTACTGGCATGCGAGGCGGTTGATGACACAATGCTCCTGGTTCAATGTGACAATTATTTGCACACTTGTGTACCATACACTCAAAGCCTAACTGCACACTTCCTCCAAGTGCACTTCACTGAAGACCGCAGGGTAAAGTGCAAGTATTGGGATTGGGCCTGAAGCTCAGCTGTGATGTGGCTCACTTCTAGTTCCAGAAAATGGCAAACAGTGTTTTTCTTTCCCAGCGTATGACTCACAAGGCATTCATTCCTACTAGAGACCACTGCACATATATTAAAAACATGAGTAATGTTGACCTTTAATGAAGAAGGTTTAATTACATTTCAGTTTGGTATACCTTGATTTAGGTTTGATTTGGCAGCATTTCTGATTCATGAGTTTGATTAAAAGACCATTTCTGGACACAATGTCCTCAGATCTTGTTACTCTTTCCAGTATTTTTAAGTAGTTTATGTATTTTTGTTTAGATTTCTGGTTCTTTTTCGGTAAATTTTCTGTTGTTATTTGGTGTTTTATTTGTCTTGACTGCTGCCCCCACACTCTCCCTTCCTGTCCTCACCAGCGACCGACTGCGCACCACCACTAACGTCCTTGGTGACTCCATCGGCGCTGGCATAGTCGAGCATCTGTCTCGCCATGAGTTGAGAAAGAAGGACACGGAGATGGGCAACTCAGTGGTGGAAGAGGCAGACAAGAAGCCATACCAGCTGATTTCCCAGGAGAACGAGTACGAGAACGAAAGTCCTGCTGACAGCGAGACCAAGATGTAGGAGAAGGATTTGTACCGTGTGGCTGGATACAATCTTGAGGGAAATCCTTTTGCAAATCTCAGTTCTGGAGGATTTAAAGGAAATGAAACCTACTGCTAGAACATATCTCAACTTAATGAGATCCACAACTCTGTGAGGGTTCCCGTTTCACACTGCAGACTGGGAATACGTTATGGTGGTATTAGTTTGTGGTGCTCCCTGATATGCATAATTGCCACAGGGTTGCAGCTATTTAACATTAGCAATGACTTACAGAGAGCCCAGTTATTACAGATCCAAACTCAGTAATAAATGTAATGATTGATGCTATCCACTAGAGGCCAGCGTTGCTGTGAATCTCAGCACAAAGATTTGTTTGCTCACCAAAACTTTTGATGCAAAAAGGGGGCTGCTTCCAACCTCTGTGCAGATATTTGTGACTTTAATTCCTACAGATTGTTGAACAGATGTGATGAATCAAGCTTTACTTTATGCTTTTGCCTGATAACTATCCAAAACAAAAAAGACTTTTACTAGATGAACCAAACTGAGAGGATTTTTTTCACCTATTCGTCATTATTGTGGTTAAATGCCAGCCATGTTGCTACATGTACACTAACTTAGTGAGGAATATAACAAATCATACATTTTAGTTAATTAAATCAAATATAAAAAGATATATTTTATGAATATACCCGAACCTATAGTGAGCTGAAGAATATAGTATGAAAATAGCTACAGGTCAGCACCAAAGGTTTGGGCTTTTTAACATGAGCAAGGTCACTTTAACCCAGTCGGTGATTTGTTTTAAAACAGTTTCTTACATTTGATGGTATTCTGGAAACTTTGAACTGTCCAATAAATATTTTTCTTAAAAAAGTGGAAAAAAATAAATAATATAATTGACAGGATGATTAATTACTTTGGTTTTACATTCATAATTATTATGAATAATCATATATTTTGAATATATGAGAGCAGAATTCAGCCTGAGGAAAACATTTGTTAAAATAACAGGCTAAATAGCTACATTTTAATTTTGCTGAATCCTTTTTCAGCCTTGAGCCCTCCCAAATTAATTGCCTGAAGAAAGTCAAATTATTTATTTAATTTTCAGTTTATATATATATATATATATATATAAGCGAGAAAACCTATATGTATAGAAGACTCATCTAAATGTGTGTGTGTGTGTGTGTGTGTGTGTGTGTGTGTGTGTGTGTGTGTGTGTGTGTGTGTGTGTGTGTGTGTGTGTGTGTTTAGAAAAATATAAACATGTATGTTAGCTATAGCTTAGCTATAGCCTTATGGAAACAGTTACAACCTCAAACCTTATGACCAAAATAAAAGCCCATCTAGTCTGTCTCACAAACGCATAAAATGTTTGATTTATAGATTTACTTTATATGTTATAGGTAAATTGAGTAGTTTGTTTACAGTTGTTGGTACCTCACTTGATGTGGCTGTTTCTCTCATGAATTCATGTGCACATGCACAAACACCACTGAACTTTAGTAGTTTTGTCTTGCTTGTATTTTTTTTAATAAAAACATGAATTTACCTGTTGTGTGTTTGTCATTTTATCATAAATGTTGGACAGACAACATATAGAGTCCTGAAAAATGTATGGAACAAGTTACAAGGGTTCTAAAGCTTCTAACTTTGAACTCTTATGAGAATTAGGGTAAAGTTTAGGCTGAAATTAACAGCTTCCAACAACTCTGATTAATCCATACATCTGATACCTTGAAACTACACTTAATTTTCTCAAGTAAAGACAAACAAAAATAATACATGCAAACTTCAGCTTTACTAATTTTTGATCTCAATAATTTTCATTTTAAACACATAATTCGATGTTTAATTTGATGTAAGAGCTTAAAATATTTTGAAAAGCGTTCGTTTTCTGTAAATTAGGGGAAATGTGTATATTCACATTGCGGATAACCCAAATATCAATTATTATTATTATTATTATTATTATTATTATTATTATTATATAATGTGTGCGTGTGTGTGTGTGTATAAAACAAGTTTCCTTACCAAAACAATGCTATGTTGCATTTAAGACAAATAACAGCCTTGTCTCACAGCGCCCCCACGTGGCCAAAGCATGCAATGTCGCATGGCATTTTGTTTGGCGCCGATGGAGGGAGTCACTCCTGAGATCTTTGGTCAGTCAGACGACAGAACTTCCGGTCGGCATTTTGTTCTACGAGAGGAGAGCCTCTTGATGATCGCAAAATCCGTCATATTTCTCTTTTACGGTCGAAATTGGCTGCAAACGTTGTTTATGTCGGCACAGACCGGCTAAAACGCAGAAGAACGAATGTTTCCCCATGAATGTACGTTGAGACGTTCACCCTTGAGAGACGGAAGAAGAACGAATCGGTCCGACCCGGATTATTGTTGATAGCTGTAGCAAGCTAGCTCATCGGCTAGCAGGGGAGCCAAGTCGAGTTCCTTCTGGAGGAGCTGCGAAGAGAAGAAAGGGGGAGCTAGAGATACGGACACAAACCAAGCTAAAACATTCCCCTCCCTTTCAACGCAACATCATAAGGTAAATACAACTAAATGACTGCTTTTTGTTTATACCACCATACAGTTTTATATTTGTTCAAATAAAGCTATGAAGTGTTCTTCTGCAAGACCACCTACGGCGTCGTTAATCGGTGACCGGGAGGCAACGGAAGCTAGTGAACTAGCGAGCCGAGCTAGCTCGGTGTGTTTTTGCTTTGCTCGGCCTCAACTGGACGTCATTTGTCGAGCCTGAAGATTGGGCCGTTGCCACCGAATTGCAATCCCTGCAGTTACCCGTACATGTACTCCCTCTCAAACCCATCACTTTTTCCCCTCCTTTTTTTTGCAACCCTAATAGAAATTAGCTTGCATTCGTTTCCCCCCCACCAACGCTTCCTTGTATTATTGCATTTGGTTTGTCTTTATTTGAACAAGGAGTATAATTAAAACCCAACTGAAAACAGTTAGCGCTAATTAGCATAACTAGCTAGCTGTTAAAATACGACTACTGTTGTTAGCAAATGTTGGACTGCTGTCTGTAGTAATTTTAGCTCAGCTGTAGCTTCTGGGTTAGCTCGAAAGATCCGAGTGGTGAAGAAGTTCTCGGTTGATCGTGTTTGGAAGTGAGTTGTAGCTTCGCAGTTCAGCTAACCATTAACGTTGAAATAGGCGCTGAATGATAATTGAACAGCCGGATTGCTAATAATATAGATATCTTTCTCCCAACATCTTATGTTTTTATTTTTTTCGTTTTCAGCAGTTTTTTAGTAAATGCATTATTGGTATTGCAATGCTTTTTGCAACAGTTTTGACTGAGCAGAGCCCACTCTGCCTCAGCTTGGCTTTATTTACATGAGTTCAATTGACGCGTTACTTTAACTAAGAATTAGAAATCGTTTTTTTAGCTAATCGGTTTGCAAGAGGCGTGTGTATGGTGGCTGTCTGCTTCTGGAGGATGCAGCCCCCCCACGACTGCCGCCACCATCACAGTGCATCTGTTCCTTTGTGCTGCCTCCTGCCTGTCAGTCTCACAGCTGTCAGCCTAGAGCCAAGCCCCCGTGTGCACAGGAGCACCACACAGCAGCAGAGCATGCTAACGACACCGCTTGCTAATGTACTGTGTTTACATTATCCATCTGTTGATCCTACGCGAGTTTGCTCGTGCAAAATAAGTTGATCGGGTGTGCAAGCTCAAATTTCTATAATGTCTGGTAGGTTCGGTTGTGTGCTGAAGTCCGGAACAAGCGTTTGCAGTTTCTGTAAAGTCACAAGCAAATGTGTAAAAAAAAAAACGGTGCATGCTTTTTCCATCCAGTTGTGAAAACAGGGTCATTGCAAAGATGGCAGCATGTGGGCAGGTGCTTAATGTGAAACTGACATTATTTAGCTGTTTTGTGTATTTGTTTGCATCTTATTGCAAAGAGTGTTTTGCTGCAACATCTGACACAAATCTGTTTTTTTTTTTATTATAGCAGATTGAAAGTGTAATACTATCTGAAATGTCAGTGAGTCCACCGGAGACTGCACACCATTCTTCAAAAAGGTATCCTCACAATAGTATATCAAACATGTCACAGATTTTACTGGTGCACATTCACAGTGCGTGTTTGTTACTAATTTTACTGTGAAATAAATACATGAATTAAACATTTGCATTACATAGGTGGCATGAATGTCTGTGAGGCACACCTTAAAGAGGGTGTAAATGTCAGCTTGTTTTCCTGTGCTATTGACCTCTGGTTCTTTGAGGTCAAGGACATCTAACAAGCAAAGGAATTTAAAGACAGGTTTTGCAAAAAAAAAAAAAGCCATCATTTATGCTTTTCCCTTGTAGTGCATCATAGTCTAAGCTTCTCATATCTTTCTCTTAATTAAGGCTAATGTGTTTATCTGTTTGTATTATGATATAGATGTGTAGTTGTAGTAATTAAGCAACTTCAAGTTATTGAAGGCATCACTAATGAAAGTAAAATTATGCAGAAAAATAAGTGGAATAATACTCACAACTACTTCAAATATACTATCTGGACATGCAGTCTGGCGATTTCTGCAAAAATTCTAGATTAGTTTACCATTTATTTTACTTGCAATTAAATATTTTTGAGACTTAATAATACACTCTTGTGTTTATACTTATTTTGCAATAAATCTGTTATAAAGGGAAAGCATTTCTTCATTGTAACCATCACATTGTGTAAATAATAATATATGCATGCCACTACAGGAGGGCAGAATAGCCTTAATGATGGATTAATGATATTTACCAAAGATTGAAGCTGAAATTTTGAGATTAAGATTTTAGCTAATCTTTCTAATTTTGCAGAATGACTCGCACAAGGATTACCCTTCATATGGATGAGGTTGCAGTGATTATGAAATGAAGAGATGAATGTTACAATTTATGCAAACATTATTTTGCCTATACCCAAAAGTATGATGGAAAACTTTATTTTTCTCTCCTGTTTTCCAGATTTGATTAGTTCTGTCTCTTTCTGCTGCTGGCCTTCACTCCTCTTTATTTTGCTCTCCTCTCTCTCACTAATTGTGTTCTCTGTAAGGTGCCATGAGATGTGAGGACGGGTGTCATCCATCGACCCCTTGATCTACCTGTGTATCAACACACACCCCCACCCTCACCTTCAGCATGAATGGGGATATGCCTCATGTTCCCATCACCACTCTTGCTGGGATTGCTAGTCTCACTGACTGTGAGTGTCACACTGTTCCAGACACGATGCTTCACTTGATTTGTTATTTTATTCTTCAGTTCAAAGTACATAGTCAACTAATTCAGCTTTATCAAAAGTGTTTTCACACTTCTGGTTGCCATGTTTTGGTTTTGTTGTTTGCTCCACTGTGGCTACACGCCCCTGTTGTTGTTTGTTTTTAATGCTTTTCTTTGTCCTACCTTTAATTTTAACCCCCCTGCAACTTTCCTGTTGGGACATTTTGTTCTCGTCTTAGTGTTGAACCAGCTGCCCCTCCCTTCTCCTCTACCTGCCACCACCACTAAGAGCCTCCTGTTCAACGGGCGGATTGCGGAGGACGTCAGTCGTCTGCTGGACTGTCGAGATGAGACCTTGGCCTCCCAGTTAGCCCACAGCCTCAACCAGGTGTCCACGGAGCACATGTACGTGGAAATGTTCATCTCTGCTTGGAACAATTGTTTTATTAACAAAATGAAGTAAATAAAGTAAACAGTTCTGAATAATTCAACTACAGAAAAGGTGGTTTGGTGTTTTAAATGATGTTTATTACAATTTGAGTTTATTATTTTATTTAACATAAGGAATGTTTTTAACGAATCAGTTAAAATTGTGCTAGAGCTACACTTGTTCACAACGCCTTAACCAGATTGCTCTGCCTCCTAAAATCATGAACGAAGTGTTGATTCTACAAGGACGGATCGATGCAAACTTCTTTTAGTGTTTTTTGTTTTGCTGATTTGCATTAATGAGCAACAGAATAAAAGATCAATACAGCAAAATGAGCTCATATTTCTAGCTTCATACTTGTTTGTACAGCAGCATATGTAATCTTAACCAGGACTTTTAGGCTTCCTTCCATCTTAGCTTATGAGTCGTTTCACACAGTCGCTGCTCTTGAACGTCTTCATAATGTGACTTCGGCTGTGATTTTGTGTCTTCAGAGAACTGAAGGACAACCTGGGTAGCGATGAACCGGAGGGAGATGCACCACTGCTGCTGCAGACCCTGCTGGCCAGAAACCCTGGCATCTTCAGGGAGAAAAGTATGCCTGATCTGCATTGTGTTATTGTGTGACTGTTACAGATCGTGGTTCAATATTATTATTCTTTTATTAAACAGATGTTATGCAGCAGCCAATGGTACCATCATTTAAGATCAACCAAAACTCCATGCACAGCCCTGCTCAGTCTGCAAACTTTCAGCCAGCTGCAATTTCTCCCAACCCATCAAGGTGTGTGAAGCTCCCTGAAATGATTAATGATTAAAATGAACATTGAGATGCTTTTTTATTCATGATAGATTATCTTGTTAATTTCACTTTGGTGCCTAAACTTTCCTATTCCCTCTCTTAACCTCCTGCTTCCATTTTCATTCATTCTCCAGCCGGTTTGTGGTGTCGCAGACTGGTTCTAGTGGTCGGTACTTGGGCCAGAACAGCCCAGTACCCAGCCCCTACACTCCCCAGAGTCCTGCCCCTGGTTACATACAGCCGTATTCCCACCAACAGCCACCCAGTTACAACCAGCCCCCACAGCTACAAGGTGATCTACCTGCATGACAACACCGTTTAGCTTGTGGTTTGAAAAAAGTTACACACGTATTTTTAATACTACCAGGTCCCATGTCTTTATACTAAATAGTAATAATAAAACCAAAACATGAAACCCACATTCATTTGAATGTTTTTATTTTGTTTGTCAGCGTCTGTTGTGAGCCCGATGGTGCCTGGCGGGATACGAAACATCCACGAGGACAAAGGATGTGGGCAGATGTCCGGCGCTCCCAACCACCACCCAGACAGACACGGTACCGAGGACTACCTGAACATGGTGCAGCGGCTGGGTAGCGAGGTACGGCTGACACGTTATTAGCTAAGTTAGCTGCGGCACTTTAAAGGCGTGGAACACTGACAACCCAAAACGATCTCCTAACACATGGATTTTCTGCTTCCTGATCACGTGACGTGTGACATACGTGAATGAAGCTCACCTTTAAAGGCGTGATATTTGTTCTCGCGGTGCGGGGGCTTGTTACATTGGCTTTAGTCATCAATTGCAGTAAATGATAGGGCTGAAGGATCTGTAGTTTTTGGACCGAAATTGCGATTTCAAACAGCACGATCATGTGACTGTCAAAGTTGTGTTATTTATTTATTTATTTTTTGCACTCCTGACTGATCCAGGATCTGATATGTCAGCTCTCTTTTTTTTTTTTTTTTTTTAATTATATATTTTTTTTACATCCGGGGTCCCCCCTGTGTTACGGCAGGCGGCAACAGCCAGCGCGCGCGGGGGGGGGGGGGGGGGTGTACCGTCCGAAGCTGAGTTGAGAGAGCTTGACATTTAGGTAATTTTCCCTGTTTTACTGTTCTACACACAGCGCTGCTAGAGCCGCTAATAATGGCTGTGGTTGTCTCAACACCTTAGGCGAGTGAGGGAGAGACAGACTCTTCCTGTATCGGAGCAGGTTCGGGCTGATTTTTAAAGCTCGGTTTCATGCTTGACGCTTCATCAGCGAGAGTGCTAAATCGCACACTTTAGTTGACTTGAAAGTTCAGCATTTTTAAAAAAAATGGTTTGAATGTTTCTGATGGCACACATTAATTCAAACAAGCTAACGTGTGTCAAAGTGTCTCTTTCAATGCGTGTGAGTCTCTCTCACGGAGCTGACTGCAGCTTAAACTAGGCTTTATGGTAAAGATTTAGTGAGGAAAAACTATCAGACAGCTTCAAAAAAACATCTAACCAGCCTGCCTTGGTAATTCAGGGAATACTGGGCGCATTCTTTGTTATTTAATACATTTAAAAGCTATTTCTACCTTCAGAACAAAAACATGTTTTTTTATAAAGCACCTCTCTAGATAAAAATCACAAGTTGTTTCACAAGCACATAAAAAAAAGATATAAATATAATAATGGGAAAAATTATCAATAGCTTTAACAGTTTTTATTGTATGATTAGATAGTAAATATTAATGTGAATGATTTGTTGTACTAGATTAGAAGCTAGACCATATTTTCACATAATATATAGGATGGCTTGACAGGCTAGTGTTGTATTTTTATTTGAAGAAAATCATGGATTGAACTGAAATTGCAAATTCTCCAAGAAAAATTGTAGTTCAATAGATTCCTAAAATCATTCAGCCCTAGTAAATGAGTGAACATCTATGAGAATTCCCACCAGCAGCGTGCAAAGCTAACTGAAAAAGATCTGGCTTAGAATTTTTCCGGGAGAGTAAAAGCTGTTTCCCGTGTGTTGTCCAGGAGGGCGATTCCACCATGAGGAATCCTCCTTTCCCTCTAAGATCTCCTCAGTCGGGCTGTTCTCCCGCGTCGAGTGAGGGAACACCTAAACGTAAGCACACATTATCCGACATGTCTTTATTTGCACCTCCTTATTGTTTACGTGTCTTTCTGAGGTATAAATGCGTCTGTCATAATGCTCATCTTCTCTTTGTGTTGCTGCTTCATAGCAGGGTCACGCCCACCCCTGATTCTCCAGTCACCGCCTCCTTACGCGGCTTCGCCGAGGGAAGGAGGACCTGACCAGAAGCAGCATCTCCAGCAAAGGAAGAAAACTCCTACTGTAAAAGAAGAGAAGGATCTGTATGACATCGTTAGCTCTCCAAACAAAGACTCTACCAAACTCACGCTCAAACTGTCCAGGGTTAAGTCAAACGAATCCGATCCACCTGGTAAGTTTTCTTTGCAATCGGCTCAGCCTTTCATTTTTTGTAATAGTTTGTGTGAACTTAGTTAAAGCAGACGTCACTAAAGTGTTTTTGTAAACACGATTCTTTACGTGTGTTCTGTCTGTTTCTTAGACGATGGCGGGCCTGGTATGGATCAGAACTCGGACAACATTGAGGCAGAACTGGGCTTTCAGCATGTTCCAGTTGTCCAGCAAAACCTTGCAGCCCGGCAGCAGCAGGTCTTCCAGCAGCCCATTGGTGCCGGTGGCCTCCAACCTCCCAGTTCACCGTACGATGAGGCAGAGCTTGATGCTCTTGCTGAAATTGAAAGGATAGAACGAGAAGCAGCTAGTGAGAAATGTTCTAAGGAGGTGCAAGATAAAGGTCAGGAGATGTGTGGTTGGATGAAATCCAACAAGAGGTTTGTGCCCCTATGGCACAGAGAACTGAGTTTCTCATTTGTTTTTGTTTTTCAGACAAGCCACTGAAGAAAAGGAAACAGGACTCTTTTCCTCTGGAGCCGGGTGCAGGGGGACCAGGGGGTCCCACAGGTGCCCCAGGCAGTGGATCAACAGGAGGGGGCAATGCAGGCAAACTGACGCCACAAGAGGCCACTGCAGCTGGAAACGGTGCCAGTCGCCCTCCCCTCATGGTGAGCATCGATCTCCAGCAGGCAAGCAGAGCTGATGGCCAGCTCGACCCCTGTTTGGCTGCCCCTATACCTGCCCTTGAGGCCCAGCGTTGGCCCGAGGAACCGGCTAGCGGACCGGCAGCAGTGGAGGGTTCTGACACAGCTTTACGGTTGAAACCAGACGGAAGACCAGAAGTCATCAAAAACAGTGTTGACAAACACGACAGCAGAAGAGAAGGTCGGGAGTCATCCAAGCATCGACATCACGAGAAGTCCTCAGACAGACGCGGAGAGGCACCAAAGTCATCGAGTCGAGGGGAGCACGGGCGAGACAGGGACCGCGAATCTGAGAGAGATAGAAGGCATCGGAGCGAGGCCGGCAGCCGAGACAGACGGTCGCCTGACTCCCGCTCCCGATCTGGAGATCCTGGTTGGAGCAGCAGTAGACAAGATGGCTCCAAACTGGCCTCGTCTGCTGCTGGTGCTAAAATTCCAGATTCTTTTCCTGCTCAGCTTCTGGGAGGACATACTGGAGCCCTGAAGAACTTTCAGATCCCTAAGGTGATCTGGACCGATCAAACCAAATGTCTACCCACCTACCAATCATTCATCCGTCACTGTCTGCAGTCTCACACAACCAAATCATTCCCCTGCTCACTTTTCAGTTTGTTTTTCTCATTTTAAGCCTTTTTTTAAATCCTGGTGTTGATTTTCAAATTCTGTTAACACATTAACTCTCACCTAACCATCTGGTAGAAGTAGTAGTTTTTTTACGTAGTTGATGTCAAAACAAAAGCAAATATATGAAGGAAATCTTCCACTGTGCCCTAATGTTTGTTTTTCTTTCAAATCTGGTCTGAAAGAGAAAAACATCTTCGTTCGTTTAGATTTCTCTCCAGTTGTAAACAAAATTCTTAAACAGTCACATGTCAAGATAGTCGCCTCACATTCAGTTTCATCTCATTTCACTGCTTTTAGATTGAATATTTAGTCTTCAGACGAGTTTAGTTATGATTATTGTTATTATTATTATTGTTTATTTTTAGACAAGACTGCCCCGGCAGTGTTTTAACCTGTAGGAGTTTGGATAATCTTTACTATCGTAAACCCTAATCATCTGGAGAGTAAGAGGAGTCTGCTGCAACGATGAAATGTTTACAATCTGTGTAGATTAATGGTATCCAGTAGCAGCTGCTGTGTGACTGATATTTCAGGCCTCACCAGAAATAAGGTTGAATAAGTAATGTGATGGGGAGAAGAGAGTTTTTACCCCGATGCTCTCTGGTTTTATTGTATCCTCTCCGAGTCAACTCCTCTGCTTCCAGAGGTAGTTCCTTCCTTCGCTTTAGTGGAATATCTCTATATATTTGCTAATGGGTCACTAGATTAACATCAAAATCATAAGCCTTGTTTGTTTGAATCATTTTTTAACATTTTGATTTATTTGTTGTATTTTCTATGTGCACCATTAATTAATTTATGTTCAAAAAGTGAATTTCACAACTATTCGAGCATACCACAATACTTGGCCTCATTTCCTTTTGTTTTCTTTTGCAGCTCAACCGTGACAGGGATAGCAGCGGGTCAACGGAAGGTCAAATGTGGGAGCAGCCCAAGGTCAAACTGGAGAGACTGGGTCTGGTGAAGGACTTTGAGAAGCGGCCGAAGCCTATAGTGGTTCTAAAGAAGCTCTCGGTTGACCAGATTCAGAGGATCATTCGGCACAGCAAGTCTGGGAAAAATAGGTTTTCCTCAGGAAGATCCGGCAAAAGTAAGAACATGGAAACAAACAGTTTGCAGTGTTAAACATGCTTTTCATCCCTGTTTGAGAAATAATTTGGTTTAGGGATGCAACGACACCACTTTTTTCCAAACCGATACGACACCGATACTTGGATCTGAGTACTCGCCGATACCAATTACCAATACCGATATTTCCACCAGTCTAGGGATGGGTACCGAATTCGGTACTTTTTAAGGTACCGACCGAACCGAGCACCGATTCACGTCATTTCAAACGGTGCCTCGTTTCGGTACCCGTCCATCATAACGAGAACTTGCCTAGACAGCTGCACATGCGCAAGAGCGTTATGACGTCAGTCGCTGCGAGTGAGATGTAAACAGAGCAGCATGGTAGAAAGAACGCACGCTAAAGCTTGGGTCCACTTCACTAAATGTGATGGGTAACTGGGTGATGATGAAACCAGCGACAACGATCTAAGTGAGACATCCTCATCTTAATCTGCTCCGGTAGGTAATTATAATAAGCTTGATATGTTAGCTTCCGTTTCGCTAATGGTGCGTTCGCTTTCTCCTCGGAACTCCGAATTCCCGACTAGAAGAACATGAACACGCTCTAAAGTTTGGCTTCACTTTACTAAATGCGACGGGTGATTGGGTGAAGATGAAACCAGCGACAACGATCTAAGTGTGAGGCAGCATCGTTTTAATCTGCTCCAGCAGTTAAATAAACTGTTAAAGATAATGTTAGCTTGATATGTTAGCTTCCATTGCCACCGTTGTTATCAGCTAATGGTGCGTTCGCTTTCTCCTCGGAAATTCTAACTTCCCAGTAGGAAAAAATCAAATGAAAAAAGACGGCAAAAGGAATGAAGATACACAGTAAATTTAGTTCACAGTAAAGATGTTTGCTTCAGTTTAATTATCAGCTTATAAAACTACAAGAACAAAGTTAAAATAGAAACAGTTGAATGTTATTTACCGTGATATTTATCAAATATTGTTATATATTGAGAAAAATATATATCTAATTATAAAAGAGAATTAAAATAATAAACACTCAAAAGTATTGAAAATTGGTACCGTTAAGTACCGGTATCGATTCGTAGGTACCGGGAATTCGTACCGGATCGATTCAAACGTCAAAGGTACCCATCCCTATAAAATGCAATGATTTGGAATACAGATTTTATTTTCTTCTCTGCTTTCAACAGGAAAAGACTGTGAGGTAGATAAAAAGTAAAATATATGAATGGAAATCATCACAAAACTAAAATATTAGTTGAACAGAAATGACAAGTTACAGTGAAGCCATTTTCAAGCAACTGCACTGGTATCAGTTAACTTTTACCGATACTGGATGGCAATACCAGTATCGTATCGGTGCATCCCTAATTTGGTTAATAACTTTAAAATTCACTTGTGTTTAGGCGGTATGGACCCGTCAGTTCTGAAAGAGCTTCCTCCAGAGCTGCTGGCGGAGATTGAGTCAACGATGCCTTTGTGTGAACGGGTAAAGATGAACAAGAGGAAACGCAGCACTGTAAACGAGAAGCCCAAATACGCGGAGGTCAGCTCAGACGAAGACTTTGACGCAAACGGAGAGTGTGAGTAGATCGTGCTGATTTAACACACATGTAAAAGATCAGATCCAAACTACATTTTCAGTTTAGCGTGAAGCAGAATCAGTTGTTTGTTGGTATCCTGGGTAACAGGATCTGATTTTATTAAATGTCAACAGCGGCAAGGAAGCGTCACCGGCGAAACAAAGACAGAACCTGGGAGTTTGAGGAAAGAGATCGACGGGGATCAGGGGGTCACCAGAAAAGTGGGAATCGAGACGGCCGACGAGGCTCGGGAAGCCGCTACCGCGATTCCTCTGATGAAGATTCACCACCTCCCAGCATGAGTGAAAGTACGCTCTGGTCATTTGCTTATTTTTCCTCTTCATTTATTTAAATCTTGGTTGAGTTGTCTGGTTTAATAAATCGGGTGGAAATGTTTCACTATTCTAATTCTGATTGGGCATCTGAGATGGGTTCAAGCAAAAGCATCAAGTCTCTTGTTGTTAATCTGATATTCATCAGTTGATATCGCCGTGCAAGGCTGCTGGGTGCTAATGCTATGCAAACAAGCCACATTTACTAATGAAAAATACACAGACAGAGCCCTTTGGACGTCTATAAAACAATCCAGATTTAAATGTTATGCTCAGTTACTCTTGACTCTCAGTGCTCAAGTAACATTTTCTCTGAAGTTCTTTTTTACTCTTAGCTTATTATTTGTGTCACTACTTTTTACATACCACCCACGTTTGGTCTAAAGCTGTTTTTGTCTGTGTGGATGCCGTTTGGCCGAGGCGTTCAGCTGGACTCCTTTGTTTACACCGCTACCTCCTGGACAACTCCACATCTCCACACTTCTCAGACATAGGCCCTTTTCCTCTGATGAAATGTGTGGAACAAATTTATGGGTACTCCTTCATCTGCTCCACACTGTGGAAATCCACTTTTCCACATAAAAACTGCCACTGTTTTGCTTTTTCTTCCCTTAGCTTGGCCTGTTTCTCTTTCCAGCTGTTTCATGTGGTTGTGGAGCTTACCCGACCTTGGAAAATGGATAAATGTCCCCTCTGACATATGATCTGGGTATCAAGAGTCCGAATAGCACCTCCCCAACAGGGATGCTTAGTTCCTTCCTTTTTGATCATATTTAGAAGAAGAAAATGCAACTTTGAGATAAGCGGAGCGACTCAGACCCATAGGCACCCATGCAAATTACACACCTGTTTATATGAGGACACATCCCACAATTCATTGTGTTATGTCAGGACCTTCTTATAGCTACTGTAGCTATTGGAAGTGACAAACGTTGGTCTCTTAATCTGTCACTCAAAGAGAAACGTCACATTTAATGCTACGTTTGTCTCATTTAGTTGCCCGAAAAATGAAGATGAAGGAGAAGCAAAAGAAACGGAAAGCTTATGAACCCAAGTTGACCCAGGAAGAGCTAATGGACTCGTCCACATTCAAACGGTTCTCAGCAAGCATCGACAACATCCTTGAGAATCTGGAGGATGTGGATTTTACCGCCATGGGTGATTATCTTTGTTTACCTGGAAACTCGCTTTTCAAGTTCTTTACAGATGGTCCAACATTTTCTGTTGTGATTTCTAGCGGCAGATGATGACGAGATACCTCAGGAACTACTGCTTGGCAAACACCAGTTGAATGAGCTGGGCAGTGAGTCAGCCAAAATCAAGGCCATGAACATCACAAGCAGGGTATAGTGTATTTATTGGTGTAAAAGTTGAATTTAGACCCTTTTCTATGTGTGATGTTGCCTAAAGCACTTTTTTTTTGTTATTTTAGATCCCATCAGACAAGTTAGTGAAGCTCCTGAACATCCTAGAGAAGAACATTCAAGACGGATCCAAGCTCACTACGATGATGAACCACGTGAGTTACCTCGTTTTCTTTAGTTTACTTTAGTCTCTGTTGCATCGTGCTCCTCCTGGCATCAGCAGGTGATTACTGGTACATTTATCATGTTTGTTTTTCAGGACCAAGATGCTGAGGATGAGGAGCGGCTTTGGAGAGACTTGATCATGGAGAGAGTCACAAAGTCTGCTGATGCCTGTCTGACGGCTCTCAACATCATGACCTCAACACGCATGCCAAAGGCTGTCTACATAGAAGATGTCATAGAGCGGGTGTTACAGTACACCAAGTTCCACCTTCAGAATACGCTGTATCCACAGTATGATCCTGTCTACAGGGTGGATCCACATGGAGGTAACCATAGTACTGTTTTGTTTCAAATAACATTAATATTTGATTGAAGTGTGGTTGATCACTTTAAAAACCAAAGAACCTAGATCTTCTGAATTAAATCCTAGAATCTTCTGAATAATTACAATAAAGACCTCGCCGGTTAATATTTTATATTTATATAGAATATTACATCTTTGTGGTCAAAATCATCAATTTGCCTCCGCTACAACTGTGTGTTTATAGAGGTGTGCGATGCGTTGAATGGATAGCATATTAAAGGGATACTATGCAGGTTTGGCTGGCTTTTAGCACCCCCTAGTGTCAATTAGTGAAACCAAAAGTGAATCTTATCTCCTCGCTGTGTACATCTTTTTAACACCTTAATCTAACAGCTGAAATGTCTCCTCAGCCTTCATTAGTCTACAGGAGTGATTCATCACTCAAACAAATCAGCTGTGTTCATGATCTAAAACATGCTGGATGCAGACTGCAGCGCCAGGCATGTCGGGTCCCTTTGACTAAAGGTAGTTTTCCAGGAGCACTACTCAAAGTAGCTCAGAACGGTGCAGCTCAAGTTTGGTATTTTCCCTCTGCTTTCTCCCCAGTTTTTAGTCTCTGCTCCATTGAGGTACCTGGCAAGGCTGAGTCGGGCCGGTATCATGACTCTGGCTGCTGATTGGATAGAAGCAGAGTCACTGGTTGTTCCTGTTTTCTGCCTTCTTCTTCACTGCCTGCAGCTATTTCCTGGTTCAGAGTCTGTCAAAAAGCCATACAACTGAGTATGGATGTAGGGGACTGGGGTTCCTTTGGTTTCTGGTTAACTTGCTATTAGCCATTGGGGGGGGGGGGGGGGGGGTCAGTAACCGGTTTAAGAAATTCTGGAAAACGTGCATCCCTAAAACTGAGCTAAATGTCCAGCAACACCGCCATTTTTGAGCGGAGTTGTGTTTCTGTGGAGCATTACCTTACACTTGTGGAGGTTACCTTACACTAGGGATGCACTGAAAATTCAGCCGTCGAAAATTTTCAGCCGAAAATGACCCAACGGTGCATTTTGGGTTTTCGGCCAAAACGGACAGTTTTCATCATTTCTTCTCACTTCGCCCTCATGGGGCAACTCGCTCTTTGCTTAAAGGGGCATTATGGAAGTTTGACAGCCAAAACATGTATAGAAATAATACATTTCTTCTTCATACATTCTCCTGCAATGCCCTGGTCCTGTAGAATGAGCCCTGGCATTTTTACTGTGATTGCCTGTTTTTCTGTAAAATCACAGAAAAAGAGAGCTGCTCGGGTCGAGCAGTCTGCTTCATGCACGTTCACGCTCAGGCATAGCCCGTAGCATTTGCTATCAGTAGCTTCAGCAGCAGAGAGAGAGGTAGTGCCAACTGAGCGACTTTGTCGCTGTTCCTAACGCCTAGTGACAAAGCTAGCTACATTTCTGAGGACACTTAGCTACTTTCTGTAGAACTTTCTTCTAGATATTTCCTGCAAATTAGCAACAAAATAGCCATTTTCGCTTCGAACCGTTCTTTGGTTTGACGTTGTTTCAGCTGTCATCAAGGATATAAAAGTTACAGATACTGTGAATGCTACTAGAGTGTAGCTCACCTTGTCAAATGTCTGACTCCCATGTAGAAGACCTGGGTTCAATTCTGGGTTTGAGCATAGTTTATTAAGAGTTTCTTTTTTACATTAATGGTATATTTTTTTACAGTAAGATGCCCAAATTTTTATTTGAGACTCGCCGAACGACATTGAATTCACAGATAAAAAAGATGTGGGTTCAACTTTCATTTTGGAACAATTTTTCAAGTAGGGGAAGGGAATGATCTGAGCATGCAGGAGGACTGACCCATCATAAACCTTTGTCGGCTGTGCTGAAGAGAAAGGTACAGAACCAAATTAATTAATTAACTGCGCGTTCTCCTGTCCTCTGTCCTCCGGGCCACACACACACACGGGACTGTCTCAGCTGTTATTTTCGTTAAGGTGTGTGTACATACAGCATGCGCGCCTCGTGCACGAGCCTACTATTGAAGCTGCCGTTACGCTTTTGGCCGGAGGGGGCAATCGCGAGCATAAAAATTCAAAAGTCCGTAAAGTCCCTTTAATAAATAACATACATTCACATTTCAAAAGTAAAGTTTTCCCCTTTTAGTAATGTTGTTTTTTTCTTTTTATGATTGCTGGAATATTCAGATCAATTATGTGACGCATTTTTTACTGTCAATTTCACATCTACCGCGTCTGCCATCCTTTCTACTCCCACCATGTCCTGAACACGGTGAAGTAAGCTTTGGATTGTGTGTGAAGTGTGTTTACTCTCACAAAGCATACAGACTCTGTTGATGCTGCGCAGCTGCAGCGCCACTTTCTTTCTCACTGGACGAGTTTATATCTTCATCAGAGGGTGAATATTGTTCATTAGTCAGCCATTACCAGGCAAAGAACTTTGTCAACAGTGAACGAACCTGTCAGCGTTCTAAGTTTCTTCTCTCAATAAATAATAAAATTCGCCCTCTGTGAGCTCCACTCCGTTCCTCGCCTGTGTCGGGAGCCTCTCCCAACGGGGGGGGGAGTTTTCAAATTCTATAAACTCAGAAAATTTCAGTAGAAACACCCAAAAGTATTGCTCAGATTGAAGTTACACATCTCCGCTATCTTCTAACGTAAAGTAATAACTTCATGAGGGATTATATTTGCAGCTGTGGCTCGTTAAACGCAATATTGTAGCTTTGGTGCTTAAAGGGTTAATTTTATAGTCCTCAGTAGGCTTTTCAGGTCTAAGCCTGTACTTTTATAATATTTTTATTAATATTTTATTTTTTGTAGCCATAAATTCAATGGTTCTGATTATTGACATCATTTATTTTGGCGTTTCGACCAAGGATTTGCATTTCGGTGCATCTCTACCTTGCACTGTTTACTGATCACCTCATGCTATTATCAGGAGTAAAAATCGCATGCACCCCCTCCCTCTGCAAGTCCTCCCCCCCCTGCACCCATGACGGGCTCACCCACTTTCCATCGTGAAGCTGGCCTGGAAACAAAACTACACTCAGATGAGCTGACTCGAACCACGCTGTATAGAGCTGTTTCAGGCTGAGTAGTGCTCATGGAAAACTAGCTAAGTCCAACAGGGACCGGCACTCTGAAGTTGCAAGTGCGTTATTCTGACCACAGGGTGCGGTGAGGTCTGAGTGACATTTCATTTACCCTGTAAAGGGTCATTTTAGCACATACTGGCTGAAGAAAATTATGTAAAAACATGAAAAAGTTGCATGGTGTGGCTTTAATGGAAAGAATAGCATTGAGAAAATGAGAAAATTTTGTAAACTTTTAATGTTATTTTTTTTATTTGTCCAGGTGGCATGTTGAGCTCTAGGGCAAAACGTGCAAAATGCTCCACCCATAAGCAGCGCGTCATCGTGATGTTGTACAACAAAGTGTGTGACATCGTCAGCAACATCTCAGAGCTTCTGGAAATCCAGCTCCTCACAGACACAACCATCCTCCAGGTAACAACAAAACCAGTGTCATCTTTCTAGTAACTCACGTAGACCGGGTCTTAATTCATCTCTTTTTGTGTTTTACAGGTGTCCTCCATGGGTATCACTCCGTTTTTTGTGGAGAATGTGAGCGAGCTGCAGTTGTGTGCCATTAAGCTCGTCACAGCGGTGAGTGTTGACATAAAAACACTTGAGTGGATCGTTCTGTTTGGTTGTTGTTGGAAAGCATGCATTATTTCTGGTCTCTCCAGGTGTTCTCGCGTTATGAGAAGCATCGGCAGCTTATCTTGGAGGAGATCTTTACCTCTTTAGCAAGACTTCCTACCAGCAAACGCTCTCTTAGAAACTTCAGGTAGCTTCTTAAATGTTTATTGTCTCAGATTTACAATCGTTCCTTGTTTTATTTATAACACACAGCTTCTGACCGTAAACCTTTGTGTTTCAGACTGAACAGCTCAGACCAGGATGGAGAACCCATGTACATCCAGATGGTGACTGCTCTGGTGCTCCAGCTGATCCAGTGTGTGGTCCATCTCCCCAACGACAAGGATGTTTTTGAAGAGTATGATTCGAAGGTAAGTGTGAAAACACGTAAAGACTGCGTAAGTAAATGTTTCTTGAGAAACGTGTTTACAAGAATGACTTTTGTGTTTTTAGGTGGATCAGGATGTCTTGATAACCAACTCGTACGAGACTGCAATGAGAACAGCACAAAACTTCCTCTCAGTCTTCCTCAAAAAGTAATTACTGCTTGATCCTTAACTTTTTTTGAATGTCGTCGTCGTCGTCTTCCTCGGCTTATCCGGGTCCGGGTCCGGGTCGCGGGGGCAGCATCCCAACTAGGGAGCCCCAGACCGTCCTCTCCCCGGCCACCTCCACCAGCTCCTCCGGCAGGACCCCAAGGCGTTCCCGGACCAGATTGGAGATGTAACCTCTCCAACGTGTCCTGGGTCGACCCGGGGGCCTCCTGCCGGCAGGACATGCCCGAAACACCTCCCCAGGGAGGCGTCCAGGAGGCATCCTGACCAGATGCCTAAACCACCTCAACTGACTCCTTTCGATCCGGAGGAGCAGCGGTTCTACTCCGAGTCCCTCCCGAATGTCCGAGCTCCTCACCCTTTCTCTAAGGTTGAGCCCGGCCACCCTACGGAGGAAACTCATTTCGGCCGCTTGTATCTGCGGTCTCGTTACTTAAACTCCTCCACTTGAGGTAGGACCTCTCTCCCGACCCGGAGTTGGCAAGCCACCCTTTTCCGGTTGAGAACCATGGTCTCAGATTTGGAGGTGCTGATCCTCATCCCAGCCGCTTCACACTCGGCCGCGAACCTACCCAGCAAGAGCTGAAGGTCAGAGCTGGATGAAGCTAGGAGGACCACATCATCCGCAAAAAGCAGAGATGAGATTCTCCTGCCACCAAACTCGACACACTCCACACCACGGCTGTGCCTAGAAATTCTGTCCATAAAGGTCATGAACAGAACCGGTGACAAAAGGCAGCCCTGGCGGAGTCCAACCCACACCGGGAACAGGTCCGACTTACTACCGGCTATGTGGACCAAACTCACGCTCCTCTGGTAAAGGGACTGAATGGCCATGCTGTAGTTCTTTTTTAAAACACGTTTAGTTTGCGGCTGCAAACTTCCTCAGGCTGCAGCCGCAAACGAAACGTAGCGGGAAAACAGGTAAACAAAACTGCTGTGTTTTAAAAAAGAACTACAGCATGGAATTAGAGATACGACGCAGCGAGAACACACCTAAGACTGGATGGCCCTTAACAGAAAGCCACCCACCCCATACTCCTGGAGCGTCCCCCACAGGGTGCCCTGGGGACTTTTTTTGAGTGTTTGCTCTAAAACGTTTGATTATCACTCGTCACCCTTTTCCTTCGGCTGCTTTTTACCGCTTTCTCTGCCTTCAGGTGTGGCAGCAAGCAGGGAGAAGAAGATTATCGGCCATTATTTGAGAACTTTGTCCAGGACCTCCTGTCAACTGTAAATAAACCAGAGTGGCCTGCTGCAGAGCTGCTGCTCAGTCTGCTCGGTAGACTGCTGGTTAGTATGATTAAGTCCTTTCTATGAGGTTGAAATGCAACCAACGTGTTTCTAACAGGAGTTTGTAAAACAAATTTTTCTGTACGAATTGTCTTCTTTGTAAATTTGACACATTTTAAACAGTCATGTTTTTTATTAGTTTGCAAGAAAAAAGGAAAGTCTTGACGTAAGTTGTTTTTAAATCTTCTATTGTCTCTTCCAGGTGCACCAGTTCAGTAACAAACAGACAGAAATGGCTCTGAGAGTTGCATCGCTAGACTACCTTGGCACAGTGGCGGCTCGTCTAAGGAAGGATGCAGTCACAAGCAAGATGGACCAGAGATCCATCGATCGTATCCTGCAAGAGGTAGAGAGTTTGACTTTAGCACGTTTAACAATCAGCTGCAACATCCAAACAGGCTGAACAAAAGAATTTGACCAGTTTTTAATTGTGGTGGTTAGACTGTACAATGAAGAACAGTTTTCAAAAATGAAGGTTTATTAATAGTTCGGTTCCACCGCCGGGTTTGGGCTGAGACGGGAGGGCCGGCTTGCTCATTTTTCTGTCCTGATTGTAAAACCGACCCGGACAGCACCACTACCGGCACTTTTGTGGCTCCCTTCTGTTGTAGGGCCAAATCTTTGTGAAGCCGTACAGCTAGGGCGGAGTGACAACACTGTCCATTGACTGGGGGACAGAAATATGTCACTACTTGCAACAAGCAAAAGAAACCTCAGGGTTCCGTTATTTGTATTTTCATTAGTTGTACACGTGTGTGAAATGCCAGCTTCAGAGCTCCATACATTCCTCTCCATCTTCATGAGAGTTCACGCTCAGGAGAGCAAGACGGATCGCTAAGGAATGCAAGTTTTTAAAGAAATTTCTCCTCTGATGGAGGCTGTAGGGTTCGAGTGGATGTTGGAATAAACTGAAGAAATTAAATAGCCGAGTATAGAAATTTTAAGGACAGAAACAGCTGGAGTGGAGATGGGAAAAATACATGGAGATAGCTAGATGCTATTTGTAGCCACAGACTAGCAGACAGGCCTGGGCTCAGCGATCTCCAGTCACACGTGGAGCCTGTTGGTAGGACTTTGTTTTATCTGTAGCTCTGCAGCCATTCATTGCAGGACAAAAATACTGAATAGTTTGACAACTTTTTAATGACGGTTATGTTTACCCCCGCCTGCCAAGTAAGAGCCCAAACTGTGATTGAAACGCTCCCCTGGAATTGCAGACCCCTACCAGTCCACATGGGCTGATGGTGACCTGCTCCACGTCATCCCAAACCTGGCGGTGGAATCAAGGCTTAATTAACCCTGAAGCAGCAGAAGAAAGTGATTTGATTTGATGTGAATGGCTGAAGTGATGTGGGTTAAATACTAGGGGTGGGCTGGTACGCCCCTGTGTATTCGAATGTGTCGGTACGCCCCTGTCGGTCCGAGTTTATGCTCTAATTGCGTTGCACATTAACCTACAGCATGCTAACTAAACACATAGTGAAGCGCCGCAGAAGTTATGGCAAGCGACTCGGGAGAGGAAGAGCTCGAATATCCACCGTTGTCATTAAAGTCTCCTGTTTGGGAACACTACGGCTTCCCGGTGAGATATGTAGCAAAGAACACATGTATCTCCACATTGCCAAGCTAGCAAAATGCTACCTTGCCATACCAACGTCCTCTGTCCCCAGCGAGAGGGTTTTTTCTACTGCTGGAGATATCGTAACAGCCAACAGATCTGCCCTTTCTGCAGACAATGTGGACTAATTTCTGGCAAAAAACATGAAGGTTGAGTGAACCTAAAAAGGCAACAAGCTGGAACTCCTAATGTTGCAGAATGTTGTTGTTAACCTATTTCAATCTGAATAATTCCGTTAGTTCCTTCATTCGCACTTTAATTTCTTCAGTAAAAAAACAGCACAATAATCATCTTGCAGATTCCTAAATAAATATTTAAACTTGCATATATTTATTTTTTTATCTTATTTTTTCTCAGACTATATGTTTGCAAGAGATTATAAGAATAGTTGCACTTAAAAATTCTTAGTTTTGCTTGTATGCACAAAATAATTCTTTATTTCAGTAGTTAAGCCGGCTCTTTCAGTTGCACTTTGTTTATAAAGAGCAAGTCACATGTTGATGCTGCATTTTTCCAATAATAATATATTATATTATATATGTTAATTTTCATTTACTGGGAATATCTCGCAGAATGCAATGCAAGTAAATGTTCAACTTAAATGTAAATAAATAATTTACTGTTTACACAACAGAAAAGCGTTTTTAATTTTTTTACTGTACCGAAAACGTACCGAACCGTAATTTTAAGCCAAGGTATGTACCGAACCGGAATGTCAGGCGTACCGGCACACCCCCTATTAAATACACACCGGCATGTACTGCAGGGAGCGGGACAAGCCATGTTTTCTCCTCCTGGCTCTAACTAAACTTTGTGTCTAATGAAACATTTGTGATTTTCTAGTTTCCAGGCAGTGACGAGACCCAGCAGCTGCAGAAGGCTCTGCTGGACTATCTGGAGGAGAACGCTGAGACAGACCCCTCACTTGTGGTAGGTTTGCATCAGACTATAATTTAAGTTTGAAATCCCTTTGCATTTTGTAAATATTAAGATTTTCGAACACTGTAAGCATAACACAACAAATGAAGAACCTACTATGATATAAACTGGTGAAACTGTTCCAACATTTAATTCTTATTGTGATCTGATTGTGTTTTTTGTGGAAATATTTAATCTGACACGCAGACATCTCTTGTCTTTTAGTTTTCTAGAAAGTTTTACGTTGCCCAGTGGTTTCGCGATGCTACGACAGAGGCCGAGAAGTCCATGAGGAACCAGAACCCGAAGGACGAGGACTCGTCAGATGGACCGCAGCACGCTAAAGAGATGGAGACCACCGGTGAGATAATGCAGCGTGCAGAGAAGCGCAAGAAGTTTCTGCGCAACATAATCAAGACGACGCCGACTCATTTCACCACACTAAAGTAAGTCTTGTGCCTCTGTAGGTTTGCAGTTTCACTCCTTTTCTTTTTTCTTTTGGTTTTCCTCTGAAAGACGTGGATTTTCCCAGTGCAGACACATTTGTTGAAGTGAAACTTCTGTTTTCCTTCCTCTCAGATTGAACTCCGATACTGTGGACTATGACGACTCCTGTCTGATTGTGCGTTATTTGGCCTCCATGAGGCCGTTTGCCCAGAGCTTTGATATTTATTTAACACAGGTAAAACTGGAATTTTCTCACTGTAATTTATTTGAATGATACATGATGGTCGTAGCTAAAATGTGAATGGTTCGCATAAAAAGATTCATGGTGAAAAACAGATAATAGGTGTGTTTTTAACCATTTAAACTCAGAAAGTGCTCCGTTTGTTTGACAGATCTTGCGAGTTCTTGGGGAAAGTGCCATCGCTGTGAGGACTAAAGCCATGAAGTGTCTGTCTGAGGTTGTCGCGGTAGACCCCAGCATCCTGGCAAGGGTAAGTCTGTCTCCACCGGGACAAAGGTTCTTTACTTGTCCTGGCTGTTTTTGTTATTACAATTTTATCTTGCGTTGTTTACGTGACTTTAATCTTTCTGTTTGTATAGTCCGACATGCAGAGAGGCGTTCATGGGCGTCTGATGGACAACTCCACCAGTGTGCGAGAGGCAGCTGTGGAGCTGCTGGGCAGGTTTGTGCTCAGCAGACCCCAGCTGACAGAGCAGTACTACGACATGCTCATTGAGAGGATTCTGGTAATTTGCTTTTTCACTTTCATGATTATTATTTTTTTTTGTTATTCAAGTTTTTTTATTAAGTTTTCCAAATTTTTACATACAAACAAAAACAAAATACCCCCCCCCCCCCCAATACAGCACTGGTTAGCTCAAAACCACTCACAACCACCATTCATAATAATTTCAAAACATGCTGTACTTTCATGATTATTTTTAAGGGTGTGGATCACCGAAAAAATGTTTTTTAGTGGTTATGTCTGATTATAATTCGTCACTTGCATGTGCTCCAGGCTGCAAAGCATTGCTCCTTCAAATACAAACATTGTCTTTACTTGTGAGTGTTTATGTATATGTAGACAAATAAACGTGTTGATATATGTAGATAAATATGTAGATACATAAACTTGTTTATATTCAGTACAAGTTACTTTTTTTTTTTTGCTTCCATTAGTTGAAAAATATGAGAACAGCCCCTTAAGAAAATAATCGTGAATTAAATCGCAATTGCAATATTGAAGAAAGAAATCACAATTAGATTATTTTCCAAAATCGTTCAGCCCTAAGCTGAACATGAAAATAGTCTCCTACACCTATGTGCTGCATTAGCTTCTGAACTCTAGGATTTGAAAATCCTGACAAACCTACACACACCACATCACACTGTCACTTAGCATTCATGGACTCACCCATCTTAACTCATGATGAGGAAGGCTGTTGTTGCTTTAGGGAACAGGAAACCGCTGAGAACGTATCCGCTAGTAGAAGCTAACCGTTAGCATTCACAACTCCACCACACAGCAGAACTCCCCCAAACTTGCATTATCTGTTGAGATAAAACATCAGTGTTGCAAAGCAAAGAGAATCAGTGGTAGAGTCACATTGCTGTTAGCCAATCAGATGAGAGATATCCAAATACCAGGAAATAAGACTAAATCTTTCTCTAGTCTGAAGCTACTTTCTCCTCAAGCTGACTCGTACTTCCTGATTCAGGTGCCCCCCCACCCCCACCCCCACCCCCCAAGCATTCATTCCTCCTGGAGACCTGTAATTGAGGACCCCTGCGCTAAAGGATTAGATGTGATTTTAGTTCAGAGTTCAGCATAATGGTTTGCTAGCGGAGATTCCTGATGGTGAAATTATATTTAATATATTTGGTCAAATGAAGTTCTGTCCCCTGATCTTGATTTGATATTTTACATTTTGAGGAAATATTCTTTAATTACGTCTGCATTCTTGTTTGTTATTGTGTAAATCTGTGAGTATTTCCCATTCCATCTCATATCTCCTGTGGTCATTTAGTCTATTTATTTAAATGCTGAGTCATGTCCTTTTATTGTGCACATTTTGGATTGTTGTCTAGCTCTTCTCAGGCATCTGAAATCTCTTTTATTTCCTTCCCTTTGACACTTTAAAATGACAGTTTTGTTCTTTTGAAGTGAGTTTCTACACCTGCAGAATGCTCTTGACTCACACAGAAGCACTTTGGGGTTGAGGAGAAAAGCTGCTTAAAGTGTTTTTAGTTTCGCTTCCTCAGAACAGAATTTAACCCTTTGATGCATAATGGTCACTGCAGTGGACAGGTACTCAAAATTGTTATTTATTTGTTTTTGCTATTAAGCACAGCTGTTGAAGACTTTATTGCATTTGAGCCCCTCCATTTGGACTTCAGTAAGTCAAGCCAACATATTTCATGCTCAGAATGCATGCTGTCCACTGAAGTGGACATGTAATAAATTATTTGTAAACTATAAAATTTTACAAAAAATATTTGTTGAAATTTGTTTCATTCACACCTAAAGATGAATGAAAAAAATTGTTAAAAAAATCGTGGTTGAAGATTTCATAATTCATGCATCAAAGGGTTAAAAACATCCCTATCAGCACAGGGCTGTGATGTTTGCTCAGGTTATTAAAGCAATCCATAATGAAATGTTAAATTAACAGCAACTTTAAAACCTAAGTTATCACCTGATAAGTCAGCATGTTGACTTTGTTGTGTCTGTTGTCATAGAGATGAGAAGCAGGGTCATGTGAAGTTCATTCTTCATTACAGTCTTGTGCTGCCATCTAGTGGCAAATCAGAGGTTGTGCTTCTGTTTATAGAAATGAAAACAGAAGCCTGGTCTTTGCTGTGATGCACCACAGGTCTGTGTGTTTGTAAGCTGAATTGTTTTGGTGTACAGGACACCGGCATCAGCGTGAGAAAGCGGGTGATCAAGATTCTCAGAGACATCTGTCTGGAGCAGCCGACCTTCAGTAAGGTCACTGAGATGTGTGTGAAGATGATCCGTAGGGTCAATGACGAGGAAGGCATCAAGGTATGAATCAGTTGCATCTCTGCTGGCTGTTGCTTTTGGATCATTTTGGCTGAACTGCAGCATTTTATTTACAAACATAACCCATATGTGTGAAATCCTCTCAGAAACTGGTGAATGAGACATTCCAGAAGTTGTGGTTTACTCCGACTCCAGCTCATGACAAAGAGACTATGACCAGAAAGATTCTCAACATCACTGATGTCGTAAGTCCAACTGAGTTGTTTGTTGTATGTTTAATCATTTAAAAAAGCATTATTTCTGATTAATAATTGACTCTTAATTTAAAAGTAAGTTTTGCCATCCGGTTTATTTACACATCTGCTAACTTATCAGGTGGCAGCATGTCGAGACACTGGCTATGACTGGTTTGAACAGCTTCTCCAGAACGTAAGTGTTTCCTATTGTTTAACTGGTCAGTGTGAGCATCGGTTCATTTAACTAAAGGAGTAAAACTAACGTCATTTATCCTGCTGCAGCTTCTTAAGTCAGAAGAAGATGCTTCATATAAGCCAGCTAAAAAGGCTTGTGTTCAACTAGTCGACAACCTGGTGGAACACATCCTCAAATATGAAGAGTCTCTTGCAGGTAAGCAGGCTTTCATTTGACAACCTCTTTAGTTGTTCTGTGCATTATGTGTGATTGTTTGAATGATCCTGTTTCTGTAGAAAACAAAGGGGTAAACTCGACGCGGCTGGTGTCGTGCATCACCACCTTGTACTTGTTTAGCAAGATCCGAGCCCAGCTCATGGTCAAACATGCCATGACCATGCAGCCCTACCTGACCACAAAGTGCAACGTAAGTTGCAGTAATCCGTTTTTGATTTGTTCTGTTTGATCTGTGCATTTAGGTCAGTAAGTTGCATTCTTGTTTTTCTTGCAGACTGCCAACGACTTCATGGTTATTTGTAACGTGGCAAAGATCCTGGAGCTTGTGGTGCCTCTGATGGAGCACCCGAGTGAAACGTTCCTTGCCACGATTGAAGAAGACCTCATGAAACTCATCTTTAAATATGGCATGACGGTGTGTTGCAGTGGCTCTGCAATAAAACACCCAGTGTCTGGGGGGGGTGATCTGATGGTTTTCTTGCTCGTCATCAGGTGGTCCAGCACTGCGTCAGCTGTCTGGGAGCGGTTGTAAACAAAGTCACACACAACCACAAGTTTGTGTGGGCTTGCTTCAACAAATTCTACGGTGAGATAAAAAAAAAGCTAATTTTGATCAGCTTTATTAATGAGACCCATCTTTAACTGGTGGTAGTTCCTGTGGCATTAGTGGTGCAGAAGACCTGACAGAAGCTGACTGACTGACGAAACTTCCAACTTTTCTTCCAGGTGCCCTTAACAAACTCAAGATTCAGCATCAAGAGGATCCTAACAGCACAACATTGGTAGCAAACAAACCTTTTCTGCTGCGGTCTCTGTTCACCGTGGGTGCCCTGGCTCGACACTTTGATTTTGATCAGGAAGAGTTTAAAGGTCCCAACAAGGTAGAACAACATTTTTAAAATCAAAAAATTGTTTTAAACGGAGTTTTGTGATTTTTTTTTAAATCCAATTAGTAGTTTCAGAGTCAAGCCGCAATGCATTTTTTTTTTTATCTTAAGAAAATGTTTTTGCAGCTGAGGTCTCCAGCACCACCTTGATGGAGATGGGTTTTTGTATTTTGTGTTCAGGTTATTATCAAGGAGAAAGTTCTAGAGCTGCTGCTATACTTCACCAAACACGAGGAAGAGGAGGTCAAGACCAAAGCCATCATTGGCTTAGGTAAGAAGTTGGTTTTAATCTCTCGCCACTAGTTAAAAGCAGCGGATGTTTTTCGCTCCTGCTTTGGGGGAAATTCTTCATATTTAACCCAAACTTCTGTTTGAACTTAGTTTGATTTGTGATTAGGTCAGGCTTGTTTTAACCATCTAATTTTTAAAATGTCTTTGAGCTGCTGGATGAATGAAGTTCACTAGAAGCAATGTTTTGAAAGCAGTTCTGTCTCCAGCGCATAAACATCTATATATAGGAAGTCTGCATTGCTTCTTTTCATACATTTAAATCTCTGCTGTCCTCCTGCAGGTTTCCTTGTGATCATGCATCCCAGCCAGATGTTTGTGCCTGAGGTGAAGTCCTTGTACAATGGCATCCTGGCTGACAGCGCCTCCACAATCAACCTCAAAATTCAGATCCTCAAAAACCTCCAGACATATCTCCAGGAGGAAGACACGCGGATGCAGGAAGCAGACAGAGAGTGTAAGAAAAGCTGTTGTGGTCGGTGTCCATCATTAGCTACGTTTACATGAGCACAAGTAATCGGAATGAACGCCCTATCAGATCAAAAATTCTTCATGTAAATGTGTCAATTGGAATATTTTGATCTGATACGGCCCAACGGGAATGAAATTCCATTCCGATTGAAAGAGGCTGTTTTGTCCGATCATCATTCCGATTGACGTCCATGTACACACTCATTCAGATTCTTGCAGTAAAACTATTTGCACTGCGCATCGGTGTAACTTCACGTGAAGTCCTTCCGCCTTTGCAGCCGCTCAGGACAAGTCGAAAACATGGCGGGAGGTAAACAGAAGTTATCCTGCTCTCCCCCCCTATGGCGGAGGGGCAGTAGTGTTACGTACCGCCGAGCCTGAAGCGTAGTTATAGTGATCAGTAAAAACAAAAGCATACAGATAAAAATGCGAAAAAGGTCCATAATGGCTAGAGAATAACAATGTGAGGGGAAAGACGTGCGGACAAGATGACGTTTGTTTACAATTTTTTTTCTGGGAAAGACACCTCTGTGCATGCTCAACCTAATTAATCTGACTGAATGCTTGGTGTTTGCATACTCACGGCATGATCGGATCATTTCACGTAGTGTCCATATAAACAGAGATTTGGGATTTCCGATCAACTAAGATTTTAATCAGAAAGGGGAAATTTGGCACATGTAAACATAGCTACTGTACAATTGATGATTTACTGCCAACTTAGCTTAAGGGTACTTTGTGGTAAGTTCAATTCAATTCAAATTCAAAAATACTTTATTAGTCCCAGAGGGAAATTGATTGCTGTAGTAGCTCAGGATAATAATAATAATAATAATAATAATAATCAAGTCGTCAAAGAGTTGTTGTATATTACAATGGCTGTTGGCAGGAAGGATCTCCAGCTTCTTCCTGTATGCCTCCTTGCTGTCTCTGATCTTCATCTTCAGTTGCTTCTCCTCAATAATTCCCTGTTGCCCTCCTTGAAGGCTAATAAATAAAACATGATGATTAACACCTTTAACTTTGTGTCTTTTAGGGAAGAAACTGTCCAAACAAGAGGATCTGAAAGAGATGGGAGACATTTCTTCAGGGATGAGCAGCTCCATTATGCAGCTTTATCTGAAACAGGTGTTGGAGGCATTCTTTCACAACCAGTCCGGCGTACGGCACTTTGCTCTCAACGTCATCGCTCTCACACTCAACCAGGGTCTCATCCATCCCGTTCAGGTAAGAGCTGAAAACCCCAAACTCGTTTTAGTCTCTTTAAAGCAACATCTATTCCCTACGATTCTTTTCTTTTCTTTTGTTTTTTATTGATGTTCTATATTCACAAAAATCTGGTGAGTAAGCAGTGCTTATGTATCGTTTCATGTATTGGAACAGTAGCAGATGCGTGTGAATGAAACGTTTTGTAATGTGTCTGTGCAGTGTGTACCCTACCTCATTGCTATGGGGACTGACCCGGAGCCCAGCATGAGAAACAAAGCTGACCAACAGCTGGTTGAGATCGACAAGAAATACACAGGTTTCATCCATGTGAGCTGGCGTTCAGTGTTTCCTCTCAGATTTAAAGCCTAGCTTGGGCGATGGAAGCTTTGAAACTTTAATGTCATCATGCAGATGAAGGCGGTCGCTGGGATGAAGATGTCCTACAGTTTGCAGCAAGCCATTGCTTCATCTCGCAGAGCCATAATAAGAGGCTTCAGACAGGATGAGACCCACTCGGCGCTCTGCTCCCACCTCTACTCGATGATCCGGGGGAACAGGCAGCATCGGAGGGCTTTTCTCATCTCTTTACTGAACCTCTTTGACGACAGTGCTGTGAGTCAACCTGCACACTTGTCAGTCTGAACAGATCTATGAGCCAAACAAAAATGTCATGGTGTCATCTGCCTTTTTTAACTGTATTTCAACATGAATTATATTCATAACAGGGTATCCGCAGGTCCTTAAAAAGTCTTAAATTTGCTTTTCCAAATTTAAGGCCTTAAAAATCCTTAAAAATGACAAATAATCCTTAAATACAGTTTCCAAAGGTCTTAAATTACCAAAGACCCAATAAACAAGATTCTTTTATTTCTGTAAAATTTTCGTGAATTTCTAGTTAGTGTTCAGTATTTTTTGTGTATGATGTAAGCGGAACCGTACACATTCAGTTGGTTGTGAAAGGGGGCTATTTTTAGATGAGCACATTAGCTGGTTAAGCTAGTGGGAGCTTGCACCATGGAGAAGTGGAAGTTTAATGGTAACTGGATGGTTAATCCCACGTTCGCGACATGGTTAGCACCGGTTCCAGGCAATAGCTGGAAATTATAGCTTAAATTTAATTTTAAAAATAGCTTAAATTTGGTCAAAGTGGCCTTAAAAAAGGTCTTAAAAAGTCTTGCATTTGGCTCCCTTAAACCTGCAGATACCCTGCATAAACTTGTTGTCTTTAATGGTTTGTGTAAAGTTTGGCACTGACGTCTTTTTTATTTCCTTTTCTGCAGAAGATAGAAGTGAACATGCTGCTGTTTATCGCAGACAACCTGGCTTGTTTTCCATACCAGAGTCAGGAAGAGCCTCTCTTCATCATGCACCACATAGACATCACACTCTCTGTATCTGGCAGCAACCTGTTACAAACCTTCAGAGAGGTATGATGGCCCACATCATCACCGTCAGCTGGCATAAATTTTATTGGAACTGATTGATTAACGGATTTTGTCTCGTTAGCTTCTTCTAAAGGAGCCGAGGCGCAAGGAAAAGAAGGTGAAGCAGTGGAAAAACGTGTCTGATGGGGAAGATGAAGAGGAAAAGACGAACTGTGACTTTCCCAGAAGTGATGATGAAGAAAACGGCAACAATGAGGACAATGAAAATGATGATGAGGAGGATGTTGTACGACGGCCAAAGAAGATGAGGAAAGCTGTTAGAGACTCCGACAGCTCTGAGTCTGAATCTGATCTGGATGATTTGGACGTGGAGGATGTGGACAAAGTAATGAGGCTGATTCCAGACAATCCCACTGGTCTTTTGGACTTTGCCAACGCTGTTCAGGGAATTCTACTTCTGCTTGTGCTCAAACAACATCTAAAGAACCAATATGGCTTCTCTGACAGGTGAGATTTCTTGGAAGCGCGTTCAGTGGGTGTAGCATTTAGTGTTCTCCGCCCTGTGGGATTCTCATTATTTAAGCCTCACTCTGTATGAGTTCATAATGTTGCCAAGCCTTTCCAGCGGATGCAGAAGCGTTGTGTAGTGTTTGCGAAGTGTTAACCCAACAATCAGCTGCTGTTGTAGTGGATGGATGCGTTTTCACCGGCCACGAAGCACAGTGCTTATGCTTTCAGTCTGTTTTTATGCGTCACGCTTCCAGAACGCATCAAGTTCAGCAGTTTTAAATCAGGTCAGACAGGAAGTCAAACACAAAAGCTGTGTAAACGTCCAGTTATTTTCAAATTAAAAGCCATGTGCAGATTTCCATTGCTTAACTAGTAAAAAGAAGTACGTAATTTCCAGTGAAACCTTCATAGTCGAGGTGAACAGAAAAAAAACCAACCTTTTTAGATGCTGCCATCTTTCTCCTTGCTTGTTAGTGCATAAATGCCGAAATCACGCGTCGTCTTGCATTTCTTAGGTAATTTTGTGATGTGGGACCAGATGCATGGAAATGTTTTGCTGCTGTTGGGAGGGGAGAGACGGGCTGCTGAGCTCAGGGGGAAAACGCGTTTATTACGTTAAGCGTTGCTCACGCATCCGGTGGAAAGCTGGGATTAGAAACGACCCCAATCCAACTGGATTATCCATATAAATTGGTTCACATGTGTTATTCATCCTTTATCTTTTAGATTGCTCTCAGGAAAATCTGTTTTGCTCTAAGAAGCAGTAGATTTTATAGAGCTGTGGCTCATTTTAACAAAGGTACAATTTTAATGACGTGATTTACTTCAATAGCTAAGAAACCATGTTGGGTAATTGTACTTTTACCTATGTACTACTCTGGGGAAACACGACCTAAAATACCACAACGCATGGATTCAACATGGTGATGTCTTTAGTATTGTCCTGTAAAGCAGATCTTACAGGCGTGGCAGCGATTACTGTCGTCATGCATGATAGCTTATAGAAAATGCAAAACAATAACACCTTTTATTTGGTTTAACTGCAAACTTTGTCGTTTAAAGGAGACCCAGTCTCTCCTACAGGCTCCATCTTGAGTCAGTTTGGAAACTTTTGACCAGTTCAATATCTCTTGAAAATCCAATCCTCTCTTTGAACAGTAAAATCCAGAAGTACTCTCCCACCGAGTCAGCCAAGGTGTACGACAAGGCCGTGAACAGAAAAAGCAACATTAACTTCAACCCACGACAAACCATGGACTTCATCTCAAACAACATGGCCAACGCCTCCCTGAGTGAGGATGTGAAACGGCGGATAGTCAGGCAGTACCTTGATGTAAGGAGTAAAGCTTCATCAAATGATTCTTGTAGTTATGTTAGTTTGTAATAATCAGTCATTGTGCCAGCAGTAACATTAACTTACTTAAACGTTTCTCTTTTTGGTTTAATTTACACATATGTACTTTTCAGATGTCACTGCCGATTGGTTTGTGTTGTTAATAAGTTTTTTTATGCTTGTAGTTCAAGATCCTGATGGAACATCTGGATCCAGATGAAGAGGATGAGGAGGGAGAAGCATCTGCCAGCGCCAACATCAGAAACAAAGCCATAAACGCCCTATTAGGAGGCCCCGGCCCCTTGTCGGGACCTAGTCCGCGCAATCAGGCAGGACCAGAAACTGATGATGATGATAGCGACATTGACGAAAGAACCCCAGGGGTGAGCTGAATAGATTTTCACACACTGTAATAGTTGTGGTTTAAAACCGTGAGTGGAAATTAATGCCGCTTCGGTTATTTATTTATTTTTCTTTCCAGTCTTCTCGGAAGTCGAGGCGAGCGGGTGATTCCTCGGATCCAGGCCGAATGAGTGAGACGGTGGACGCCATGGACGTGATCGCTCTCTGCTGCCCCAAATACAAAGACCGACCGCAGATAGCTCGAGTCATACAGAGAACCTCCAACGGATACAACATCCACTGGATGGCAGGCTCCTACTCGGGGCCCTGGGCAGAGGCCAAGAAACGCGATGGACGCAAACAGGTGCCTTGGGTGGACACTATTAAGGAGTCAGACATCATTTACAAGAAGATCGCCCTGACCAGCAACCACAAACTGAGCAACAAAGTTGTACAGACTTTACGCTCACTATACGCCGCACGGGAAGGAGGAGCTAGCTAATGGCTCCTGTTTTTTTTTTTTTTTTTTTTTTTTTTTGTTTATTTTATTTTTGTTTCCTTTGCTCCATTTCTACTTTATGAAAATCCCCACCCACCCTCCCTGCTCCTCCTCCTCAACTTGTCACCTCCAACAACACAGCCAAACTTCACTGGATTCCTACCTAGCCCCTCTTCTTCCTTGTTTTCTAAAAGAACACGGGAGGGCAAGAATATTTGACACTACATACTTTTACATGATGAGTTATTCTTGCAAAAATGATACAAAAGACTTATATTAGAGGGACTGCTCATGGTTTTTTAATTTTTTTCTTTGTGTACATGTTCAGTGGAACGAATCCTGAAGGCATTAAAGGAATAATTCCCCCAAATTATCCCTTAAAAGGCTATCAGAGAAGAGACCTGGAGGGAAATGTTTTGTCAACATTGTTGTGGGAGCTCCTTCGCTGTTGTGCAGCAGATTCTAGTCGCTCATTTCTACTCCCAGTGTATCATAGTTTAACATTACAAAAAACTAAAATGTTTATATCTCTGAATACAAAAAAGCTGTAAAAAAAGAATAAAACCTTAAGTGAATGTTGGAAATTAGTCTTTTTGATGTTCTTATTAAATAGTTTTTTGGAGTTTATTATACTACTAGCACCCTGATGTTTTTTTTTTTTTTTCATTTTAGCTTTTAGACATTTGAGAGAAAAAACTAAAAAAGTAAAAAAAAAAGACGAAAATAAGAATTTTTATTTTTGTTCACGTTTATTTGTTCATGCTGTACAATGGCAGAGTCCTCTGAATATAATTTATTCTATTTCGAACTACGCATGCAGTATATGTGGCCTATTGCAGGAGGATATTTTGTAAATGTAGATTTTGTTGTATTAGGTCACCTTAGTAATAAGAGGAAAAGGGGACTCATACCCTTTTGGTGGAACAAATACTGCAATAAATTTTCTACTTCTCTTTGTCACTTGTCTGCTCAAAGTGTTAATCTGAACTTTTCATTTTACAAACGAAGAAAATATTGAAACAAAACGTTCGACTGCATTGACTGTAAATTATTAAATTTACATAAATAGATTAAATTTTACTAGATATTTTTGTATCATTTGAATGTATTCAAATTTAACAGTGTGAATGAAATATCTGTCAATGCTGTGTGTTGGATCAAACTAAAATATCTTGTTTTGGAAAGTTTTTTTTAAATTGTGGCACGTGGTGGAACTAAAGAGAGAAAAGTGGACAAGTGGAGGACAAAACAGAACTACAGCACATAACTATATAACTACCTACATTTAAAAGGCAAATTAGTTTTGTGTACAAACAGGATTTTCCTTAGAGTTTTAGCACTTTGCTACATCTGAATGCTTCATAGGTCATAAATTTGACTTGAATAAAAACATTCCTCTGAAAATGTTTGGACTGAAATGGAAGGAAAAAAGCCAGCAAAGCCACAATTTTTTTTATCAAGATCACAGAGATTAAAAGGAAATGCTGCTTAATGCAATAGATAAAGTTTGAGGGATATTTTGAATAATTTTGCATTACATAGTTTTTTTTTTTAAATATGTGATTCAAAATCCTGCAGTCTGGAAATCTGACTGGTAAATTTGCATGTAGAATCATAAAAAAAAAGACAAATATTCCAGAGGTTGGGACCAAAATGTTATTTTTGAGCTTCTTTGAAAGTAGGACAGCTATCTAGTGTGTTTTCAAGTAGTTTTAGTCAATGGCAGTGATTCTCAATCCTGGTCCTGGAGGGTCGGAGTTCCCCTGTGAGATCCATTTCTTTTCCATCCAGCTGCGAGTTGGAACCATCCACTCACAAAAAATAACCCTCACCCTATTCAGAATCAGAAGGGTTAATGAATCACAACATTTTAAAGTTCCTGCAATCATCCACTTGCAAACAAGCATGGCCTAACCCGAAAACAAACATAAAAATCGTGTTAAACAGAGTAATTAAACTTTGTTTTAGCGTTAGGACATGCTGTTTAGCAAGTGGATGATTCAAACTCGCAGCTGGGTGGGAAAGGAAAAGATCTTGACAGCATCCAGCACGTTTTAGTTGTTTCTCCACCATCACACTTGATTCAGTGGGTGAATCACCTGTACAGCAGCAGCTCATCAAGCTCTGCAGAAGCCTGTTAATCACCTGCTGGCTGAAATCAGGTGTAAAAAGGGGTCAAACGTGCTGGGAAAGCACATGCGATGATTTTAACAGCAAATTGAGGAACTAAACTATTACATTTATGAGTGATGAGGCTATTGTTAACAGAATAATAATATGAACATGTTTCTAATCCGTGTTCCTCCTGAAAAAGTTTTGTTTTTTTACTAGAACTATGATTAGTTTCCCTTTCTGACACGTTTTATTTGAACATGACGAATGTTTTGGCGAGTATTTTTATATTATTTTTGTCTGCTTCTGCTGGTTCAGAAGTGTGACTTAGAATTACAAATCTCATTTGTTCAACTAAAATGTTATAAACCGTAATTTCTTTCGCTAATTTCCGCTTTTTTCAAGTTGTACTTTTGAACTACAGGGCTCGCCGTACCACTGTGACGTCATTGCCATCAACATTTGAGATATTTTGGCGGGGCAAGCATTCTCGGTTCCATACTAAATATAAGTAAACAGTGGCTGTCGTCAAACTGACCGAATATGGAGCGGTAAGTTTAAGCCATTTTTATGTGTAAGAGTTCAGACTTATTTTCCACGAGGGTAATTACTCGTCCCTGCTTGTTTTTCACATTATAGTGTCCGTTTTTTGTTAACCGGCGGTAGCAACCGTTAAAGTTAGCGACCTCATAATGTTCCCAAAATGTCTGCACACCATTTATTATTAACGTGTTATTTTAGATTTAGTTTCAAGGTGGCTTGCTGTAAATCTTTGTTAACATTACTTCACAAAGTTGCATTAATGCTTGTTAGCGAAGTAAGCTACTGTGTTTACATTGTTCCGACCGTTAGCGCCGCAGACAAGTAGCGTTTAGGTTTAGCTAACATCGACCAAATATCCAGATTTGTGTGTATACACATACTTTTAAAACCATAAGAAACAACAGAATTACACTGTAAACGTACTTTGTTGTTTATGCTTTTTGTTTCTTAAGCGTTCGAATGGGCCGAACAAGCAGCAGGGCATCAGAACAGCGGTCACTGGACAGCAACAGGATGAGCACGGTGTATGCGACACCGAGGTTTGTTTATCTGTAAAGAAACAGCTGTTCTAAGCTCAGTCTTCTATTTAGATTTGTATTCTGGGATTAATGGCCAAACCCATCATACTTTTTTTTTCCTCTCACATCGGTGTACACATCCAAATAATCTACCCGTTTGGTCTAATGTGAACAGTTCTTTAATCAATCAATCAATCAATCAAAGCTTTATTTATAAAGCAACCCTGTCAGGAAGCCCAAAGTGCTGAACATGGTTCAGTTGAAGGTAAATATATTGAATAAGTCAAAAATAAAAGCAATTCAAATTACAAAATACAAATTACAAAATAGGTGAAACATTCTGGTACAGGACAAATGTGTAAAACAATGGACTGAGTGAACCAACGAAAACTGTGAAATAAATTCAACATAAAAGAGGGCCAAAATCGAACATGTTCTGGAAACGCCAAGCGGAGGAGGTGTGTTTTTAGGCGACTCTTGAAGACTGGCAGAGATGGGGACAGCCTAACTGAGGGTGGCAACTGGTTCCAGAGTGACGGTGCTAGGACTGAGAAAGCCCAGTCCCCGCGAGTACGACACCTAGAACGAGGGACAGCGAGCAGGACTTGGTCAGAGGAGCGCAGAGCGCGTGATGGGGAATGTCTGTTCAGGAGTGTGGCTAGATAGGGGGGACCCCCACCCTGGAAGAAATGATAAACAAAGACGAGGATTTTGAATTGTGAGCGATAGCAAACCGCAAGCCAGTGCAGGGAGGCCAGACCCGGACTGATGTGGGCCCGTTTCCTGGTCCCAGTCAGGAACCTGGCTGTGCTGTTCTGCACAACCTGTAGGCGACGCAGTGATGACTGACACAACCCTGCATAGAGAGAGTTGCAGTATCTTGAGCCCCTCCCAAGATGAAAAAAACATCACCCAGTTTAACGCAGAATGTCCTGTTGTGGAGATACGATCTAAACCAGTCCAGAGCAGACCCTTTGATCCCAACCCATCGTTCCAAGCGATCGAGTAGAATCGCGTGGTCAACTGTGTCGAAGGCTGCTGTCAGGTCTAATAACAGAAGCAGCACAGATGTTCCCTGATCTAGTGATAGATAGATGTCATTTAAGACCCTCAGTAGAGCCGACTCTGTGCTATGGCCAGACCTGAACCCTGATTGGAAAACCTCAAACAGATCAGAGTCAGCTAAATGTGAGACCAGCTGCTGATAAACGACTTTCTCAAGCAGTTTTGATGTAAAAGGCAGGGTAGAGATAGGCCTGTAATTTTCGATCACAGAGACATCAGCACCAGGTTTCTTCAGGGTCGGCCGAATAACTGCTGCTTTCAAAGCAGATGGGACCACACCTGTGCTGAGGCTCCCATTGATAATCTGACCAAGTGAAGGGCCAAAACACGGAAAGGCAGCCTTCCAGAGACGAGGCGGCAGAACGTCAAGTGGAGAGCCAGATGGCTTCTGCCTTGCAACAAGCTTACTCAGCTCAGAGTATGAAACAGTATTGAGGGAGCTCAGGGTGGGTGGTGATGGAGGAACTGGAACAGGGTCAACAGAGTTACCAGAAATAGCTGCTCTAGTGCCTGATACTTTATGAACAAAGAATCTGTGAAAATCTTCAGAGTTTCCAGCAGCTGTAGGAGACATGGAGCTAGGCTCTTGATACACCAGAACAGAATTAAGTGTTGTGTAGAGAATCCTGGGATTCTTGGAGTTTGTTTCGATGATGTCTGCAAAATATGCAGTTCTAGCAGCCCTCACAGCATCCTGATAAGCAACCAGTGATGCTCTGAACAACTCACGCAAGACCTGTAGGCCATCCTTTTTCCACTTTCTCTCAGAGGCTCTACACGCCCGCCTACAAGCGAGTGTGACATCAGATAGCCAAGGCTCCCTCCTAGGCCGAGACTTGCAAAGCTTGAGAGGGGCAACCACGTCCAGGACCTGATTTGTAACAATGGTGTGATCTCTTGTGTTTATTGCCTCTTTAGGGAGTTCTGTGATAAGTGGAAAACGTTGATTTGTTTGCATTTGGTTTTCTAGATCACAGCCTTCCTTTGGAAAGCTCAGCTTAGCAAAACCATCATCCGTGAGCTCTGAAAGGAGGACCAGCTTTTTTGGTGCCCGGTATGTAAATAATAAATTGCGAACTTGGCTACAATCATCACTTTCTTTATATTTTTGTGACTTGAGGGAAGATGGAACACTCCCATATTTCCTTAATTATGATTTAAATGGATATGTAACGTATAGTATTTAAATTATAACTTTCAGGACTAGTGGGGCCAGCATGCATCGGAACAGCACTATGTCAGGGTTTGGAGGAACGGAGAAGATTAAAGATTCCAGACCTCTCCATGATAAATCCTATGTTCAGCAGTGTATCAAACAGCTGCACGAGGTAAGACATTTGTCTAAACGGATCATTCATGTTTGAAGAAAAAGGTAATGCTTGTAGGTATTTTTCTCAATTTTTATGGTTGTGAAATGTCAGGTTCATGTTGGCTTTTAATAATCCCACTACTTTCTCACTGACAGTAGAGTTATCTGCATTTATCTAAAAAAAGAAGTTTGTATTGGTTTTTCTCATCTGATCTGAAAAAAGTGAATACATTTTGTTTGCATTCCTTTTCAGTTTCTGGTTGAACAGGGTTTCCCGGGTACTCTGTCATCCAAAACTCTCCAATCACCTTCCACCAAGGAGTTTGTTAAAATGTTTGAGTTCATTTACTGCCAGCTGGACCCAACCTTTGTGATGCCCAATTCCAAAGTTGAGGAGGAAGTTCCGGCTTTGCTGAAAGCCTTAGGGTAAGAGAACTACACTCATACACAAGTGTTGTTTTTGCAGCTGTATTTTTTATATTCCGTTCACTTCATTCTGCATTCTAATTACAGACGAGACTCGAGTCTCGTGCTTTTTTAATCATAATTATTTTTTCAGAAGATTAGCAAAATGTTGGATTAAGAACGGAGAAAATAAAAAGCATCTACTAATAGAGCGTTTTTGTAGTGTCTGAGCCTTTATCCAAGTCTCTAGTTTCTGAAGATTTTTATTATTTTTTCTCTTTCCATGTGTTTTGTTAAAGGTATCCATTTGTTCTCTCCAAGTGCTCAATGTATTCCGTTGGAGCTCCCCATACCTGGCCTCAGGCCCTGGGTGCTCTCATGTGGCTCATCGATTCCGTCAAGGTGGGAAGCAAATGTGACTTGTGTTCCAGGCAAGGATAGAGTTCATTAAACACGATTGCTTTTCAGTTTGACCATATTCTGAGTGTTTGCATTTCAGATCAACTTGAGTTTTGGTAAGCAGGACCCACTGTTAACAGTTTTCTGTGAGGAAAGTGACAATATTGAGGAGGGAGCTGAGTATAACAAGGTACTAAGATTGTCTGCATCGACCAAGTGGCCTCTGACAATTTTAAAATATAACTTTGTTTTATTTTTTAGCTCTTCCTTGACTTCACAGGTGAAACATACTCTAAGTATATGCAGGGTCAAGACACATTTGATTCTGAGGATGACGTATTTCTCACCAACATGAGTAAGCACAGCAGCTCTTGTTTTTCAGAATGAATGTTTGTAACATGCTTATATACATATATATATATATATATATATATATATATATATATATATATATAAACAAGTTCAAATAAAATCTTGGTCTAAAAGGTTTTCAGCTTAAAAATCTGAATGTCTGTTCCCATAGAGAGGCTCTATAATGTTGACGAAGCCCTGCTGGTAAAGATGGAGGAAAAGAACCAAATCCTCACTGAGGAGCTCCGGCATCTGGAAAAAGAGTCTCAGACTGTAAGACGTGTGTGCACGTTAGGGCAATTTTAATAAAATGTTTTCAGAGTGTAAACAAAAAAACTTACTGTCATGGTAGTTTTGTAATTTATAAAATCTCACAGATCGCTTATGTTTAAAGATGTTCAAGGTTTTTGTTATCTTTACAGTTTGGTGTAAAGCTCTGCCATCCCAGTCAGTTTTTGTATTTTTCTTTAAATAGGACCGCCTAATGACCAAGAGGATGGAGAAGATGAAGCTGCAAACGGACCTGAAGAAACTTCAGAGTTATCGAAGCAGCATAGAGTCTTTCAAAGCCAGCCTGGAGAACAAAGCTTCAGAGCTGAACAATGAGCTGGAGACATCTGGTAGATATGGACATGGCTTTGTTTTTCCTTACGGAAATAAACCAAATACCGTAAATCCTCTAATACAGGCCGGTATTCAATTAAAGGCCGGGTCTCCAGTTGTGGCCGGTGTCGGAGTCAGCGGAGGTGAATAATGGCCGGTCTCTTATTGTGGCCGGGTGGAATGTGGTAACAAGCAAGTATGAGCGTCTCAGCGGCAGGGTTATAGTCCCCAAATCAACCAGCAGGAGACAGTAGAGGTTCACACAGACCTTTATTAGGCTTTTTCTTCAACGCTTTGTAACGCTACAGACACGATCCTCTATCACGCTCCTACCACACAGAGTCACGGTGTCAGTTAACCATGCTAATTCAACCCGCTCCACAGAACACACATCACCTTCCCTGTGGCTTACATAACACTCACACAACACGCAAATCAACACATAGGAACTAGCAGAACGATAGGAAACACATATAACACAATACCCAGAATGCACCTGGCTTACAACCCCAGCCAGGTCATTACACTATCAAGTTCAAAGAGAACGTGCTGATTATGCTGCAGAACACACTGGGGAGCAGCAGTAGGGGGTGTATGAACTAGTCAACTTCACTATAGTGACTTTTTATGCCTGTCGTCGACTAGTCGCTGTCACGTGATAATGACCGGCAAGATGCAGCCCTCGGAAAAGACAGCAGCCTGCTGTCAGCAGGTGACAAGCTCCTGCGCTCGGGGGGTGGGGGGGCAACGCGCTGTGCCAGACCGTAGGTACTGACACGCGATCGTTCATGTCGGTTCATTTCCTTTAATGTTTTCTGTCTTTTACTTGCGCCTGATGTGTATCGCTGCTGTGGAGCGGGGCGCTTCACCTTGTCCTCCGACGCACAGATCACTGATGCGGCCTCCAAGCAGGGAGAGCTCCGCTGTTTTCGCGGTCGGTAGATCTGCCTCCTGAGCACGGCCACAGTAACAATCAGGTGTCGCCACCTCAAAAACTAATTTAACACGCGATCATTCATGTCAGTTCATTTCCTTTAATTTTTTCTGTCTTTTATTTGCGCCTGATGCGTTTCGCTGCATGCTGTGGAGCGGGGCGCTGCGCGCATCACCTTGTCCTCCGACGCACTGATCACTGATACGGCCGCTAAACAGCGAGCGCTCCGCTGTTTTTGCGGTCGGTAGATCTTTTAGAACTGCAGTTCAAAGGTAGCTCATGAGGTGAATATATATATGAACCCAGGTAGCAGTTTTTCTTTAGGATTGAGAGGAGATGCAGGAAGATAATAAACAGACAGGACAGAAAAATAGTCAAATAAAAACAAGTTAGTTTTTGTACCTGGTGGTTGCAACAAACAGACACCATTGAAGGTCATCAGAAGTGAGGAACAGAAAATGAAATAATTATTTTAATGTTTAGAGCAGCAGGAACTCCGAGAGGCTGCAGGCGCATCAGTGAGTTTGCAGCCGCTGCGCAGGGGGAGGGGGGAGAGGGCTGAAGCAGGAACTACCGTTGTTAAAAGAAATGTGTTTAACTTTGAAAATGTGGGCGCAATTTTAATTGTCAAAAACTCCAGCGAACCATTAGTTCATTTTGCTCAAATAGAAATAGAGGCCTGCCTCTAATACTGGCCCTCCTTCCAATAAAGGCCTGGAGCTTGATGAGCTTGAGTCTAATACAGGCCCGGGCCTGTATTAGAGGATTTACGGTATTTGTGTGGATGGAGAAAAGTCAAGGAAGTCTGAGTCTTTAGTTCAGACTCAGATTTAAATGAAAAGGGCCTCGTCTGTTTGTAGCACTGGTTCTAGGTGCAAAATTGGTTAAATAAGTTTACTAGTGATGTACCAATATGAAATGTTTGGGCCGATACCGATATACTGACATTAATGCTTCTAAAATCAGCAGATTTTGTATAGAATGAAAACGATTAAAGCTGAATTTACGTTATTATGTACACACAACACTCACATTTACGCTTCTGAGATGATTACGATCACTGTTTACGTGACTAAACAATTACTCATCACCCCTCTCACCCTCTGAAACAGACAAACAAATGGAGCCGAGATGGAAAAAATATCAGTAGTAACGGCCCGGTTTTATTTCTAGAACCGATATGTTAAAAAAAAGACTGAAATCGGCCGATACCGATGTTGATGCCGTTAGATTGTCCATCCCTATTATTTACATGGTTCCAGGTAGAGGTTGACCGATATTGGTTTTTCTATATCCAATGTGTCATGGTCAGACGATGTTTCTGTTGTTAGACATTTACACCTTGTTTTCATGCTAAAATGTCCCCAATAACATCAGTTGATACACAAAATATCTGAAGTTGAATTCATTTTTGAACTCTGAATTTAAATGTTAAATCTTACCTTTGTGGACTGCTCAGTGTTAAAGTCACCTAAATAAAGTTTATTTAGAGTGTTTTTAATGCTGAAGGTATTCGTGAACGTAGAAAAACTTTTAAATTCAATTCTGCAACAGCACTGGGCTGCCCGAGCATGAGCCTGAATTTAAATCAGCTTAACTAAGGACAAAAACCGTCTGACCGATATATCGATCTACTCCTAGCTTCAAAGCAGCTACTTAAAGTATTTGACAAGAATAATGTGATCTTTTTTTTTTTTTTTTTGGTTCAAATAAATCAAATATGTGATTGGAACACGCAGAATACAGAATGCAGAATATCAGCAGGGGGGCAGATTGAGACATCATGTTATGCGTCTGACAGTGTGAGTCCTGTCACTGTGGCTACTTGGCCAACGGGATGTCCCTTTGGCAGACTGGTTAGCACGTGTGACTCACCCGAGAGTCTGGGGATCGAATCCCGATCGGACCTTTTTTTTTTTAATATCCACCGCAGATCTCTCTGAAGAACTCGCAGCATTGCCGGCTTCAGACACGCTGTGCCACTGTGGATTTTCTCTTATTTGTTTAGCAAGCGCACTTCCTTTCATTTTTCCACCTCACCCACAAGTACCTCAACTTCTGCTTCGGTGAAACGGCGCTTCCTTGATCTGCGGTCGCGATCGTTAATGATGAAATGCTGCAACAAGCCGGCTTATGTATATGCATGAGATCCACAAGGCACTTTGCATTGACTATTCATGGCAGAAAGTGGACGTGTTGAAGGTGGGATGGGATTCAGAAACAGCTGAGCACGTTCCTCTGTAGTTTCTGATTTATAAAGCAGAGATTGCGTGAAGCTGTGCGTGCTCCGCGTTTTATAGGCCACAAACCTACTTGGCGTAAGTACATTATTTTTGCTGAGCGTAAGTACGGTTTTAGTAAGGTTTCCACGCAATGTTTTATAAATGAGACCCCAGGAGAGGAGAGCTTTTGAGTGTTTTCTGTGTTTTTCTTTTTTGTTTAGTTGGTCATCTGGATTCTCTCAAACATCAGAGGGAAGAACTTGAACAGGTCTTACAGAACCAAAAATTTACTCCAGCTGATGTCGAGAGGATCAACAGGGAGAAAAGGGAACTTGAACAAACTGTCGCTAATCTCACCAAGGCTCTTGAAGATGCTGAGCAGCACACGTGGAATGAAGAAATTGCTTTATCCAAAGTGAAAGGGAAGGTACCGTGTGTCTCTTTTTGTACGAGATGAACAGGCGTTGTTGCTTTTTAATCCGATTCATTTCAGGAAATCTGACGGCTATCATTTGAGGTCCTTTTTTATTAATTTTGTTTTTTACTGGTCAATCCCAGGTAGAGTCTAATCTGGCTGAGTATCACAAGCTGGCACGTAAACTCAAGCTGATCCCGCAGACTGCAGAAAACGCCTGTGGTCACGATTTTGAGTTGAAGCCATTTGAAGGTGGATGCCGTCAAAGGACGCAGATAGAGGTACTTCAGTTTAATTCAGTGGGAAGAGATTTGGATCAAGTTCAGTTTGAAGAAAACTCGGTGACACTCCCTGCTGTGTTTCGTGTATTTTTATAGATGCTTCTGAAAAAGATGATCAGTAATGTGGAGGAAGAAAGCAGCAGGCTGACCAACTCCAGACTCAGTCTAGTAGAGTCCATGGAACAAGTAACGAGGCCTTTTCTAATATTGCTTTTTCCACTTCAGAAACCAACTCGTCTTTTGCTGGATTTTACTTCTGTTGTAAAAACGGTTTCTGTCTTTCAGCTAAACTCCAACGTCATGGACAAGCTGAACGACGTGAAGCTGCTCAAAGAGCAGATCCGCAAGTTGGATGAGCAGCTGGAACTTGACATGCAGGTACACGTAGTTTACATTTGCTCAACACTAGGGTTGTCACGGTGTAGGCGCGCTGACCCTTACCAGCCACCGTATCATCTGCTGAAGTTGCCGGCGACACACGCGCACTTTGTTGTTTACAACCAAAACTTTCTTGAAGCTAAAGCTGATATAATGGCCAAAGGAGGAGACGGCAGCACTCAGGACATTTATTATCCCTCAAAGAAGACAAAGTGGGAAGTACGGGCATTTTTTTGTATATTTGAAGAATGCCGAGGGACAGTTGATAGAAGACGGCTGTCCCGTTTGCAGCACGTGCAGAAAAAGTGTCTGTGAAAGGCAGCAACGCTTAAAATCTCATGACACATCTGTGTGACCATCACCCACAACTCTACAGTCAACACAAGGCAAGTTAACATTTTAGCTAAAATGCGTGATCCGAGGATTTGGGTTGAGGGAGAATGCAACGAGTCGCTATATAAAGCAGCCGCAGCGCCGCTACCTGCATATAAACCGTGTCGCGGACACCCCCATATTGAAATGACGCTATGCTTAAATCCATGACTAATAGGAAAGCTCCAGGTCCAGATGGGTTTCCAGCAGAGTTCTACAAAGAATTCTGGATCATTCTGGCTCCAACATTTTTCAGAATGGTGAGGGAAATCGAAGAGAGCGGCAGATTACAGCCAAACATGAATTCAGCCAATATTAGTCTCTTGTGAAAACCAGACAAAGACCCTGCATTTCCTACCAGCTATCGCCCAATTTCCCTTATTAATGTTGATCTCAAAATAATTTGTAAAGCCCTGGCCAAAAGATTAGAGAAGGTAACCCCTTTCATAATACACCCTGACCAAACTGGTTTCATTAAGGGTAGACAATCATCCACTAATTCACGTAGATTACTTAATTTGATAGATTTCTCTTACAGCAGAAACATAGAAACTAGTATATTATCTCTAGATGCAGAAAAGGCTTTTGATAGAGTTAACTGGAAGTTCTTATTTGCAACTTTACATAAATTTGGGTTTGGGAACTTCTTCATAAACTGGCTACAAACATTATACAGTTCACCAACAGCACGTGTCAGGACGAACGATCAAATATCAGCTAGCTTCTGTCTTCAGAGGGGGACCAGGCAGGGATGCCCACTCTCCCCTTCACTGTTTGTTATCTTTATTGAACGACTAGCGGCAGCAATTAGGCAAACAACAGATATTAAAGGGATAAAGTGTAAGAAAATAGAACATAAGATAAGTCTTTATGCAGATGATGTTTTACTCTTTCTCCAGAATTCTCAATCCTCTCTCCCATTCAGTAGAACTGATAAACTCTTTTTCAAGAGTTTCAGATTACTCTATAAACTGGTTAAAATCCACAGTTCTACCAATTAATTTGTCTTTTGTCAATTTACTTAATAGACAATTGGAGTCAGGGAATATCACATACCTGGGAATTAATGTCTCTCCCAAGCTGGCAGATCTAACCAAACTAAACTACATCCCACTTTTAAAGAAAGTGGAAGATGATCTTGCAAGATGGAAATCCTTACCGATATCACTCATGGGGAGAGTTGCTGCAATTAAAATGATGGTCTTACCCAGAATAAATTACTTATTTTCAATGATCCCAAACAAACCACCAGCTGACTGGTTTAGATCTCTGGACTCCTCAATTACTAAATTCCTTTGGCACGATAAACCCCCACGAATTAGCTTAAAAACACTTCAGAAGACCAAAGACAGAGGAGGACTGGATTTACCCAACTTTTATTATTATTTCTTAGCCAACAGGCTGCAATATATACAGGGTATCCGCGGGTCCTTAAAAAGTCTTAAATTAGCTTTTCCAAATTAAAGGCCGTAAAAATCCTTAAAAATGACAAATAATCCTTAAATACAGTTTCCAAATGTCTTAAATTTTCAAAGACCCAATAAACAAGATTCTTTTATTTCTATAAAATTTTTATGAATTTCTAGTTAGTCTTCAGCATTTTTGTTGTATGATATTGTCATAAGCGGAACCGTACACGTTCAGTTGGTTGTGAAAGGGGGCTTTTTTTAGATGAGCACATTAGCTGGTTAAACTAGTGGGAGCTTGCGCCATGGGGAAGTGCAAGTTTAATGGTAACTGGATGGCTAATCCCACGTTCGCGATGTGGTTAGCACTGGTTCCAGGCAATAGCTGGAAAATAAAGCTTAAATTTAATTATAAAAATAGCTTAAATTTGGTCTAAGTGGCCTTAAAAAGGTCTTAAAAAGTCTTAAATGTGGCTCCCTTAAACCTGCAGATACCCTGATATACCAAGATGGTTGCAAGATAACCCACTAGATGAGTCTTAGACATAGAACAGACACTTTGCAATACGATAGAGCTTTCAGACTTACCATTTATTAGCTCAAGCACAAGAAAACATGAAAGCTTCAAAAGTATTAGTATCAGCACCTCTCTGACAGCATGGTGGGAGTATCTTAAAATGACAGTCTTCACTAGTACCATGCAGATGCACACCTATCCGGAATAATCCTGATATTTTGCAAAATAATAAAATGATGAACCTTCCGGACTTGAAAAATAAAGGAATCCTATACCTGGAACACATATATGAAGGACTGGACTTCATCCCATTTAATAGAAAAGTCTCCCAATTTGGAATAGATTAGAATAGCTTTTTAGAATATCACCAAATTAAATCTGTAGTCAAGCAAAAATTTAAGCTCAAAAAAATAGAACTACAAACTAGGGGTTGTATGAACTAGTCGACTTCACGGCTCTGTAGTGACTTTATGCCTGTCATCGACTGTCGCTGTCACGTGATAATGACTGACAAGATGCAGTCCTCGGAAAAGACAGCAGGTGATGAGCCCCTGCGCGTCGGGAGGCGGAGGCGACGTTCTGTGCCAGAGTGTCGGTACTGACACCCGCGGTAAAACGGACATTTAACCAAACTGTGACCTTTTCCCTCTTGCAATTTTATCTTCCCCTCACCCCCATCCTAATCTTAACCAGTTTGTGCATGCAAAGCTCTGATCGTTGACGCGCTCCAGACATCTCCGTCCTGAGCACCGCCAAATCAGGTGTCACCACCTCAAAAACAAATTAAACACGCAATCGTTCATGGTGGCTCATTTCCTTTAATGTTTTCTGTCTGTTATTTGTGCCTGATGCGTTTCGCTGCTGCGGAGCGAGGTGCATCACCTGTTTTGTCCTCCGGTGACGCACCCCCAAAATTCCACTATCTCCGCTCCGCTCCGGCACGAACTCCGCAGCAAAAACAGTCCCATTGTAGTCGGCCGGCGAGCAGCAGCACTCTGCTGTTTTTGTGGTCGGTAGATCTTTTAGAACTGCAGTTCAAAGGTAACTCATGAGGTGAATATATATGAACCCAGGTAGCAGTTTTTCTTTAGGATTGAGAGGAGATGCAGGAAGATAATAAACAGACAGGACAGAAAAATAGTCAAATAAAAACAAGTTAGTTTTTGTACCTGGTTGCAACAAACAAACACCATTGAAGGTAATCAGAAGTGAGGAACAGAAAATGAAATAATTATTTTAATGTTTAGAGCAGCAGGAAAGGCTGCAGGCGCATCAGTGAGTTTGCGGCTGCTGCACAGGGGAGGGGGGAGAGGGCTGAAGTAGGATGCAGAAAGTACCGTTGTTAAAAGAGATGTGTTAACTTAGAAAGTGTGGGCGCAATTTTAATTGTCAAAAACTCCAGCGAAACACCCCCCCCCCCCCCCCCCCCCCGAAGTCGACTCGATTTTCATTACTTGACTGTCGACTTAAAAAAAAGTCATGCAACCCCTACTACAAACACCACCAAGGGTATTTGACTTCTATAATCTCAAACCCCCCAAACTACTGTCTAAAGTATATAAGACACTGTCCAAAATAGACGATAAAATTGCAATCCCTATTGAAAAATGGGAGGTGGATCTATCAGTTAGCCTTGACCAGAACTTCTGGTCCCAAGCTTGTTTAAAAACTTTTAAAATGATCAGACACCCCAATTTACAATTAATTCAGTACAAAATTCTACACAGAGTACACTATACAGGTCATCGGATGTTCAAGATGGGGTTTGTGTCGTCTGACACATGTACACACTGCACAAACAACATTCCTGACAATTACATTCATGCACTGTGATCCTGTCCACCTGTCCAGGAATTTTGGGGTAGAGTGTGTGAAGACCTGTCAAAGTCTCTGAAATGTCATATCCCAACCACCCCCTCTCTTTGTTTACTGGGAAACCTGGACGATGTCCCGATTGAAACATCTTTGGTTCACGTGGTTGTGACTGCCATATGCATCGCTAAGAAAACTATCCTCTTGAATTGGAAAAATAGAGAAACTCTCTGCATTAACCAGTATAGAAATCTTTTGTTAGATCATATTACACTTGATTTAGCCTCTGCTTCCACTTCAAATTGATCTCTGTGGGCTCCTTTGATCGGTTCCATCACATAGCGATGATGGGGGACCGTTGATGTTGTCCTGCAGGATGATGTGGGTGGGGGGGTGGAGGGTCTGAGTTTGGAGTATCCAGATGTTCCCTGGAGGTGGGTTCACTGGGGATGTCTAGGACTGGGGGGCCGTTGCCCCCCTCTGGAGGTGCTTGGGTTGCCTCGGGGGGTGGACTACTGGCGGTTGTGAGTGGGGCCCCTTGGAGGTCTTGGCGGCGGCCATGGGTCCCTGCCTGGCGGCTGCATTGCCCCTGGGCGGGTCTGGGTGGGGGCTTGGGGGTTGGGTCCTGACATGTATGCTGCCGGGATGAAGGCAGGAAAATGCAGCAGTGCCTGGCCCGGGTTCAGGGGCCTCGGGTAGACCTTGGCTCCTCTGCTGTCCCATCACAGGGGATGTCCAGGAGGGGGAGGACCCAACCTTACCTGGATGTCCTATGTCATATATTCTGGAAGTTGTGCAAATGCAGGGATGGGCATAGATATTCTGCTGGGGTGGGGCTGGGTTGGTGCCCTCGGACTCCGTGAGGCTCTGTAATGCTGCTGCTTTGGGCCCTGGCAGGATGGGCTGGGGTCTCCATGCCCTGGGCGGCAATTTGACAACAGAGGTGCCTATTGGGGCCAGTGGGGGAGCTGACTCACTGGAGGGCTAAGCCCAACCAGCCATTCCTCCCCATCCCCGCATATTTCTCTCCTCCTGCTCCCTCACATCATCACACAAACATGCACATAGGACCTTGGGGGGTGGACAAGTCAGGGAGTGCGGGTATGGACCCCATTTCCGCATTCCTGTGGCAACCTGCCCCCCAATTTTATTTACACCTTATACACTTCCACCGACGACATTCCACGCAAACACACACTTAGGGCATTGGGAGTGAGCACATTCAACGGCACTTGGCAGGGGGGTTTCTCAGCCTCCTCCCGAGTGCCGGTGCTCACTTCCAATTTTAAACTGACACAGAGGGCTGTGGGTGCAAGTGGGGTGGTGCGGTGGCATCAGCTGGCATAGGCCAGACAATGCCCACACTGCCCGCTCACCACAGCCAAGGAATACACCTCATTAACACACAACACTATATTGGAGCAGGTGGAGGGAGACTAGGGGTCTTAGCACACCTCTGTTGTCGCTTGGCTTCCTGGGGCTGGAGGCTAGGAGGGAGATCTGGCCGTCTGGTTGGGGTCTGGGGTGGTGGGTTGCTGGGCTCGGCGTTGGGCGGGGGTGCCTGCTCATCAGCACCTCAGCAGAAAGGGTCGAACTCTGGGAACCGGTAATGGTTGTACCCCATGTGCAGCACCGGGACCAGAGTGAATAGGGTGTATATGGGGAGCATGAGTGGGAGTCTGGCGTGCATTTTTGTAAGTCTTTAGTTGTATGTGCATGTGTGAGCATGAGGGAGGGAGTGTATGACTGTATATGTCAGGTGGGGCCTTTGACTCCTCCCCTCTCCTGGGACTTCTTTTGATGATTTAGATCTTCGTCTCCCCTCCCCCTGCCACACCTGGTGTGGGGTGTGGTGCCTTGGTCTGCCTGAGTGTTCGTGGCTCCCGGGTCAGGGGGTTTACGATTTTTGGCGTCTGCCTGATCAATCCCGGTGGCTGCCTGGTGGGGTCTGGGTCCCTGGGCTCTGCTGGGTCCCCGGCGGGGGTGGTCGCCCCTGGGTCCCGGGTCACTGGGTCCCGGGCTCGGCCGGCTAGGGGGTGGGAGGCTGCGGGCGGGCCTGAGGGCTTGCCGCTGATGTCTCCCGGGACTCTGCCGGCTGCTGGTTGTGGCCCCCCGGGGTGACCCTCTGTGCCTCTCGAGGGGGGCGGGGGCCTTTCTGGTTGCAGTCTCCTTGGGGTTCCTGTGTTCTGGGGCAGCGCCTGGATCTCTGGGACTTGGAGCTCCCCCCGTCTCCTACACATCTTTGGGGGGCGGATCTGTGGTCCCTCACACTCTCTATTGGACGCTCCTGTAGAGAAACCTTACATAAACAAGCGCGTGTACACACACAGGTGCTCACATGGTGCTCTCAAAAGTATGGGCTTGGGCACGTTCAACACATGTCTTAAGACTATGGTGGGCACTTAATGCACTGTGATTTATTATCGTGCGACTGTTCAGTTAAACAATGTTGATTATATATTTCTTCACCAAGTTGACGCAGTGATAGCTTGATCTTGTTGTATTGTTGTTGTGTCCCTTTTATTTATTTATTTATTTATCTTTTTTTTTTTCTTGTCTCTTCCTGCAGGTCTAGAAGCAGACTCTTGTTCATTATTGTTTATTTTTGTGGAAACTTCCCCCCCCCCTTCCCCCCTCTCCCCACCTTTTGTCTTTTCCTTTCTCTTTCACCTCTGACTCCGTGTCTGGTCGGAATTACAAAGCATTAAAAAACAATAACAATAAAGTTTTAAGTATCAGGCGTGACATTAAAAGCAGACGCTTTGATGCTTCACTTGAGAGTAAATCTGTAAGGCTTGTTACCAGCATTCAGACATCAATTCTGCTTGCTTCACAGCCATACAGGACACGGTAAAAAAAAAAAAAGAAAGAAATGACGCTATGCATTACGGGGCTCCCAGGGGCAGATAAGAGTTGGTCTCTCTCCGAGAATAATTATGAATTTAACAATGATTACTGCCTGATGACATTTTCCCAAATCTGCAAAGCTCACTGGAAGGAAACAAACCGAGGACAATATTTTCCTGATATAGGGTTTATTACTCAAGTAAGGGTAAAAAAGTATCTGATTAGAAGGCTACTTGAGTACTGAGTATCATCTGGTCTAATATTTTTAAAATGGTGACAACAGACAAAAAATAAGAAGTTGTGGGCAAATATTGGTATTTTAAAGACTAAAAGGGAAATATGTAAACAAATAAACAACATAATTACAAAATTACACATTTTAGGCCAAATTTAGACACAAACTGAGGACTATTTTCCTGATATACAGGGTTTATTTAGTTGTCTGAAAATGTAATGCGTTTAAAAAAATACCGCGATAATACCGAAAACCTTGATAATTTTGGTCACAATAACCGCGAGGTTAAATTTTCACACCGTGACAACCTACTCAACACAAAATAATGGTTTTGTACACATTGTGCTTCATGCTATATGTTTACTTACGTAGGAGCTAGCCAGAGAGGAGCAGGAATGGGGAGCAGAGATCGAGAATATTGAAAACCACCGCAAACTTCTTGAGGAGAAAGTAAAGTTTGGTTATGATGAAGCTGTGCAGCAACTGAAGGCCATTCAACAACAGTAAGCACATTTCTCAGCAATGGGTTTTATAAAGGTTCTTGTACTGGTGTGGACTTTTTATCACTTACAGCAATGACACGATGCTTTAAATCAGACTGTGTTGAATATAACCTCAGATTTTTTATCATTTAGTTACAATTTTCTGTAATCTGCACATCCTGTTTAGTTTTTCTCACACTTTAGTCATACCGGGCTCCTGCTCTGTTAGAAAGATAAGGCAACATGTTAATAAATTCTGTTTTTTATTTAAGGTATCAGTTGGTTCTGCAAGAAACCAGCGAAGAGAGGCGAACTGTGGCCAATAACCTCATGTCTGTTTTCACAGCAGTTACGAACCACCTGGCTGTTACGGAGGTAAATTTACTTGACCTTGCAGAAGCTACTTTCAATAAACTAACCCCTTCTTTCCACCGGAGCCGTCAGCAGCACGTCATAGCTGCTGATGGGAACCGCTGTGGTCAACAGAACCTTTCCCACCGGAGCCGTCAGCAGCGCGAGTCGGCCCAGGAGCAGCATGTCGCGGCACTTACGCGCCGGTTCTATTTTCTACGCGCGACGCCTCTGAAACGGGTCAAGTTCGACATTTTTGGGGAAGGAAAGACAGGAAATCGGACGCGGAAACGGAGCGAAGCTCCCGAGATTTTCAGAATAAAGAAACGTACTGCCTTCTGGTTGCTTTACTTAAAAAAAAAAGTTACTAACTGTGCAGCCCCGTGAGAAGTTATCACCTAGCTAGCGGTCTCCTTTGTTTTTCAGGTCCGTATTGGCGATTATAAAATGGACAGAACATAAAACACAAACCTTTTGGAGCCCTGTTGTAGTTTTCTCCTGCTTGTTGTTGTGTTTACTGACGAAGTCACTTGTGTGACTTCGTGCTCTGTCGGTGACAGCTGCTCCCCTGCTGCTTTGCGTCTCGTGGGAAGGACCAAGCAGCAGCTTACGCGAGCAAGACGTGCTGCTGCAGTAACGTGCTGCTGACGGCTCCGGTGGAAAGAACGGGTGAGGCCTATAGATGTTTTTGATGACTCAAACCTGACCTTTTCGGAGTTTGATCATACAAAGTCTTGAAGCTGTTTAGTTAAATGCAGCTAGCTCTGCTCACTGCTGGATTCTGTTTTCCGTACAACAGCTGTCTCTGGCAGATCTACACAGCGGAGTTCATCGCATCTGCAAGAAGACTGTAGAAGAAAACGAGGCCGCTCTTCAGAAGCTGTGTGAGATGTTGAAGAGCTTCAAGGCGAAGGCTAATGTCTAAAGAGCTGCAGCAGAATGAAGATGGTGGGGCTTTAGCCCTAGATTTTGGAGGTGTTTACATTTTAAAATATAATTCATTAAACTTTGTCAGATTGCAATTTATGATTTTCAGTTTTGGATGTTGTTTCTTTTGTACTTGTTAATGCTGGAAGAACTTGATAATTCTACAGCATATTAAAAAATGTTTGGTCACAATAAAAGTACCTGCTTGGATCAAATTGTAATATTAAAGTCCTCTAGATGGCAGCACTGGTTTATTTACGGCTCAAACTGTACCACAAAGGTTTTAGTCTGGAAATATAAATTGATCAAAAGGTGGAGAAATCTCAAACATCTGGACTCATCTAGGAGGGTTTTGGCCTCCACACCTAGTTTGTTGTTAATCATTCTGAACAAACCATATCCACGACAGCTGACATCGGGATGATTAAATCTGAAACACGGCTAATCAAAAAGACATTAACCTGGGATAAGCCTGATGTTTACCGTGACGTGTTAATTCCCTCACATGGTCAGTTCAGCAGTGATGATGCCAGAAGTAACTTTTTTCTACATGCACGATGTCCGTCCTGCCAGGCATTTGCCTGCAGATCCTAATCTACACACAGATGGCTCTGGTTCTGGGAGCCTGGTTTTAGTTGGTGGCCGATGCTCATCCTCGTGGTTTTGTCATGTCAACAAATGTAAAAAGCTCCTCAACCAGGTGCAGCTTGGAATCAGTCAAGATACTGCTGGGTAGCAGCTCTTCACTATTGCACTTGTATTAGATCCAAACATTTGTGATGGCAAAATCAAAGAAAGGAGTGAGCATGGTCCTGCATGCCTGTAAAACGTTTGTAATAAAGGTTTTTCTTTATTCGGCTTCTGTCTTTGATATAAATTCCCCAAAGTTTTCTCCCTTATGCCTAATTAAAAAATTTAAAATAAAAAGATAATCATGGAACAAAAGGAATACATTAGATCGGATGTATAACTTTTACGCTGCGTGTGAAATGTTTTTAGATATTTAAAGTCTTTTTGAAAGGTAATAGAAAATCATACTTGAACAAATAAAATTGATAATCAGATAGCGATTGATCCTTTAATGTGATTAATAATATTTTTGGATACCTGACTAATTTACCAAGACTTCTTACAGACTACACGGTTATTCTTGAAAAGAACATGTAAACCAGACTTCAGCACCATCAAACACACTCTTTTAAACACAAGACAGACATGTGCTCTTGTAAGCTGAAGGTGATGTCTGGACCTTGTGTTAATACTGTAAGGCACTTTTACGTGAAGAACGTTTGCAAACCATCAGTTCTGGAAGTGTCTGGGAAATGTTTTGGCAGATGGGATGAGGTGACTGAGGGGCTCTGTGAAGAGGTGGAATGAAAATGTGATGGATAACTTCCACTACTGGCAGAAACACACCCAGGTGTGTGTGTGTGTTGGCTGGGTGTTTGACATCTGTTCTGAGAATTAAAAATCAGAGGAAGGCCATAGCCAGAAGTTAATAGCTTCATAGGCCTAATTCACCTAAACTGGTCTAAGTCTGTTTATCAGATTAAAAAAGAGGCAGTCCATATTTACAAGTATATATTTTTTTTCATTTTTTTTCGGCTGCAGTTCCACTCTTGTTCGTTAGGGCCTGGCTCCAAAACAGAGAAAGTTCCCCATGTTAAAAATACCAGTTTCACAGCAGAATTAAACACGTTTACAGCCCGGTTAAAAAAACAAAACATTTTAGGTTTTATAGCTCTAGTTTATTTTTGTGACTTTGAAGGGGGTGACTTTTATGTAACCTTTCCTTTAAGTGTAATTAAATGCTTTAAATTATGAATAATTAATGAGCATCAGGAGTTAGTGCTAGGAGCTAGTTCTGGGGAAAGGCCTCAGCCTGGGCCTCACCTTAATAGATAATCGGCCATTTCTGCTCTCTGAACTTTAGTTGTGTCTTCTGTGTGTTCCTGTTTGGATGTTAATCATGGAATTAGTTGGACAAAGTGGGCAACCTGTGGTATTGACTTAACTAAAAGACCATCCAAGCAGTTTGCTTTATTTTTGTCAGTCAGTAATATAAAATAACATTTCTGTACTTTATTTTGCTGGTACACAGCGGTCAAATTTGCGAGGTCACCGCTGCAGTGAAGTTTAGTTTTGGTAAGCCTCTCACTTTAACAGCGTCAGTCCTGCCATCAGAGATCCGCTAATCTGCTGCTTTGTCCTTCAGAGGCAGCCCAAACAGGCGCACGCCCTGCTTTTCTTCTCTTGGCCGGAAACAGCTGCTTTGCGCAGGTGGCACAACCCCGTCTCCCGAGGGGTCTGAGACGTGTTGTGCGTCCGCCTGGCTTCCATGCCAGTGCTGTTTCCCTGTGGAACTCTCTGGGGGAGATTACAGAAACACAGCTGCTCTTTGAGTGGATTTTGGAGTCGCTTTACCAAGTTTCGCTCGCTAAAAGTCCCCGAAAAACCTTAGCTTGAGTTAGCATGTAGCTAATCTCTCGGTAACCGCCGACCGAGGCGGAGCATGACCTCACGTAAGCGGCCAGGGTGCCCGTCTCTGATCGCAGCAGTCTGAGGCTCTGCTTATATTTTAACAGTCCCTATTATAGCACCACAGGCGACCAGCATGACTACAGCCTCACTCGGAAGCCAAGCGTCCGCGCTGGTCGACTACCCCGGAGCCCCTTCTTGAGTTAGTTAAATTAGCTAGTAGCTACATTGGTTCGTTGGTTCCAACCAAGCCCCCATAATTCTGCAGCAAATATGAAGCCAAAAAGGAAGTGTCAAAAATGCAGTTTCACTCTCATCCACTAGGGGCTGGCAGCAGAAGTGAGCAAATCCTCATTAACTCCCATGTTAAAAATGCCCATTTCACAGCAGAAATAAACACATTTACAGCCTGGTTCAAAAAATATTTGAGGCTTAACAGATCTAGTTTACATTATTGACAACTCTGAGGGGGTGAATTTCTTTTGCAACTCTTTTAGTCAAATGGAATTTAATGCTTAGAAATCTGAATAATCAATGTAGATCCCTAGAAGGCACTACATAAATACAGGCCATTTACCATTTAGTGGATTGACAAGACAAAATTTGATGTAAAACTAACACTGCATTTCAGATCGAGAACATCATACCAACAGTCCAACACGGTGGTGGTAGTGTGATGGTCTGGGGCTGCTGTGCTATATTAGGAACTAGAACATTTAATGAAATTGATGGAACCACAAATTCAGCTTTCTAACAGAAAATCCTAAAGGAGAGTGTTCGACCTTTGACCTCTAAGAGGCCCTTCCTGCTGTAACCCCCCCCCCCCAATTAGGCTGAATTTAAACAATTCTCTAGAGAAAAATGGGTAGAACATTTCTTCACAGCAATGAGAAAAGAAAGAAAAATAGAACCACAGCTGTTTTATTTCATGTCCCAGTGAAGTTTTGTGAAAAGTCTGCATGCACGTCCTCTGTGACATCGAGATATTTCCACCATGTGGCATACATTAGATAAATCAAAGGGTAAATAAATATGTGGTTGTCTAGCTCCTAGGTGGAAAGTAGCCTTCAAAAACACATTTGTGTGTGTGTGTGTGTGTGTGTGTGTCTTGGTTAACACAGACATGAATGTTGAGGTTCCTCAGAACTAGGTGATGTGTGTGAGGTATCAAATTTCCATCACTTTGTCTCATTCTTTCTGTCCTGGACAGGGGTTATTATGGAAGGTCCTGAGAAGGTCACGTGAGAGGACGAAAGGTCACGGAGAGGTTGCAGAGGAGCTCTGAGTCAGAGATTTGAACTGCTGGCTTCCCGTGAGTCATTTTCTGGCTTTGAAGGATTTATTTCAGAGTTCACTCACCTTAGAGAGGAAGCAGATGTCCGTCATGGGATCAGATGCTTGTCAGTGATTGTCAGGAATTTCTGGGATTCTACGCACTTGTTTTCAGCTTCACAAGGATACGGTACCTGAATTATTTTGAGGAAATTTTATTTAGCATCAAATCTACAAACCACTTAAAGTGGAAGGATGCTGGCTGACACGACGCGCTTCACTTCTGCTCTTTCTTGCCTTTCAACATCGTCTGCTTGGCTAAAAACAATTAAACAAATCAAAAAACATAACGACTAATGTAAAACTTTCACTTACTAATACTTACGGTTTTATACGTTTAACCCGAAGGAGTTGCAACGTCCTCCCTGCACACCACTGAGGTGTTTACAGAGGAAACAGGAGGTTCCTCTCTTCCACACCAGGGAGCATACGGACACAAGTGTAACACGGATTTACACACGGAAACCCAGGAGATGCAAACAGCCGATCAAGCTTTCTGTTTCTTCTCAGGAAGCGAAGACAGAATAAGAAAACAGAAGCTCAGCAGACATTAAGGTGTGAAACTGTAGGACGTCAGGCCTGGTTTCCTTCGCGGGGTCTCAGCCACACGCACAACCTGAGTTTGTGTTTACAATGGAGATTAGAGCGGCTCCTCAGCAGAGCTTCTTTTGGTCCCAACATGTAAACAACGAGGAGGTGAACACTGCCGTGTTGTCGACATGTGTCATGTACATTTTGTTACGTTCCTCACCTCTATAACCCCTGAATGAACAGCTGCAGCACACTGATACAGACCCACCAAATTCAGCTGTACGAAAAAGCAAAACACATAGGAAGATCTAAAACGTTCAATTAAATAATTAAATTTCACAATTCGATATGTTTTGGCTCGATGTTCTCATCTGTTCAGATGGCTGGAAAATCACCTGATTTATTATTCTCCGCTAATACCGTGATAAACCATAGCTCTATATGGGTCTGGTGTGTGTCACTAGTGTGTGTTTTGGTTCCCGTCTGTTGATTTCTGGCTTTTTCAATCAATATTTGAAGTTGGACACACACACACACACACTGAAGCCTTGCAGGTGTGATGCAGAACGTTGTAAAGCACATCTCAGATTTCACATGAATACTTTATCTGTTTAGCACCTCTCACAAAACATGGAGTTGTTCACTATTCTTGGGAGTGTTGCAACATTACTACAGCAATGTGTAGCTCAATACAACAGAGGGTGAAGTTATTTCATGTGTGACCTCCAGCAAATGGTTTAGATCAAAGTCTTGTGATAAAGGTAAAGTATTTTTTTAAAGATCAGCCGTGGGTCTGTTGTTCTTGTCCCACCTGACTCGGCGTGTGGTACCGGCAGATGACGAGTGTGAGTTTACAGGTCCATTGTAAATCCCCGTATGGCTCTGCTTTGTGTTGTAGATACTGTCAGAGCTAAACTGTGTCAGGAGGCCAGCTCTCCTTTGGTCCAACCCCTTAAAAAAAGAAACTAAAAACCAAACAAAAGCAACATTTTCCTGTTTCTAATGACCAAACTATGGGACTGAATCATTCTGTGACGTAAGAATGTTTGAGCTCCGATTAAAAAAAGCAAACAGCCAATCTGGAAGTAATTGTTTTAAATCAGAAAAAGTCTGATTGTTTAATTTTACCTTTGAAGACATTCCTCTCACTGTCTGTGGTTGTCTGTGCAGCCGTCTCATCTTCCAGCTCCAGTGCCGCAGACAGACTCTGTCCTGCAGCAGAGACTCTTGTAGTTTGCAGATCCTTCATGAAGACACAGATATGTTCACCCAGACGCTGGATGCTGCAATAAATAATAGACTCGTAGCATGGGTAAGAATCCAGGCTAACACTTTACAACAAGGGTCCTTTTAGTAACATTACTGAGTCCATTATTGAGCATTAATTAAAAAAAAGAATCCCCTTATTAACGTTTCTGATTTTGTTAACTATTAAGTGTCATTAGGCCAGAGGGGTGGTGTCTGCATAGTGATGCATAATATTAACATTAATTTAAAGCAGTTGTTAATACT